GAAATCAGTTTGTATTTGATGAAGGTGTAATCGTTTCTAAAAAGGTGCGCCTATTTTCGAGCGACTAATGTATACCTTCTCATTTTACTAAGAGATCCATATGCGAAAGTCCACACACACGTGAATACATACGAACATTTACAGATATATATACACTTTTTTCCATTGATATTTTCGGGTATTCACAGTAGTTTACAACTTGATATGTCAAATGTATATATATTCATAGTAGCAAGCAAAAATTAAGTAATTTAACAAAGTGAGAGTGCTTTAATCGGAAAAAAAATAATAATTTGAGTGAGAAAATAATTGATAAAAATATTTATGGCATAAGAAGAGGATGGCATAGGATGGATTGGTTTTTTATGTAGAGCTTTAGAAGAATAAAAAGGTGAAATATACAGTGGTTATAGGTTTATCTAAAGAAATCAGATACCGAAATTGAGTAGCCGATGTCATCATTATGTTCAGGTGTGGACTTTTTCATGCGTCTACTGCTAGGTTAGGCATATAACGAATTTTCTTCATAGACAATGGTTTCTTAACCCCCTGTGATAGAACTAGACTCAAACGACAGATATATTTGTCTATAAAAATCTCTTGAAATTCCGCGTCTTAGGATCTTAAAGGTCTTAACTCCCATAATGTAAGATGTCGCCGTTAGTACAGTAAGAAAAACAGATGCAAATTGAATTCTAAAGCAATCAAACAAACAAATATGAAAAATATTTCCGAAGAAAAATCAGTCTTGAAACCCAACTAATGAAACAAGCAAAACTCATTGATAAGCAATTCGTTAATACTTAGGAGATAACCACTTATTTGCTGATATTTACGGGAGATATCAAACAAATAGGTTCGTTAATACACTATAGTAAACTGATCGTCAGGTTATGAATAATATTCTTTCAACAGATCTAAGTTCTTAAAAAACAGCATACATTTGCTCTTACTGTGTCAACCTAAAAATTAGATTTTCGGAACGATAATCTGTTTGAAGCATAGTTCACACGCGTGAAAATTATTGTAATTAGCATCACCAATTTACACGTTTACCCTAATACCTCTTATGCGTTACTGTTTTAGGATGTATAATTTGCAATAAAAAGCACAGGGTAATGTGAATGGTTTCACTGAAGTCTGGGCTATAACCAGAAAATATGGCTTAAGACTGTGTAATATTGATCGAAAACAGTCCAAGTGTCTTATTCTTAATCTATATTTATGTCAAATATAAAGTTAAACTTCTTTGTTCGATGTATTTTTAAATTTTGTAACACTTTTGTTTTCATGTATTTTATCAACCACTTTTAATGGCTATTTTAACTGTCACCAATTAATGTCAGGTGAAATAAAGATAATGGTCATTTGCCTCCATGAAATTCATCTGAGAAACCCAGTGGTCTATTGAGAACAAAATAAACACGAAAGCTTCGCGAAACTCACTTTGTTTGCCGATTGTAGCATAAAGCTTCGATGAATGTTAGAAAACTCTGATTGGTGGCACATGTATCTTGGATTAATCTAACTTAGTGTTTGTTATCAGGTTTAAAAATGGATCGTCAAATTATTAGAGTTGGTGGATCTATTTTATTTTTATTTTCTGTCCTTCATACGTTTACCATTTATGAATTAACGTAGATTCAGGCTTTCGTTCTCAATTATCTTCCAAATGCACGAACTTGACATCTGTCATTACACTATGTGAAAACAAGATTACCTTAATAAAAATTAATAAAATTAATAAAAAATTCCACTGGTACCGACGGTACATTCAGTCCTTTCTATTTAGCCAGTGACAACAGTTTTCCAACCGTTGGTAGTTCTACAAGCATTGTCGTAAATAACCTACTTATGACAGAGGAGACAAACCAAAAGGCATCTTCCTCAGGTTTTCTCGGCTTTCAAGTCACACAATGTCAAAATCAAAAATTATTAATGCATACGTTTTCTAGCTGTGTGAGAGTATTATATACTGATAGGATATATTCTTCAACGATAACAGAAATGTAATTCAGTTTTATTAAGTAAGAGTTTTCAAGTGTTGGGTTGCAAGGGCTTGATCGATTTCGAGTCTGGAGACGAACTGATGTCATTTAGAGAACTACTGAAAACGAGGAATTACAGGACACTCGTTTCATCCTAATTTGTGACGAGAAACAGAAGTAATCACCTAGGTCCCCACCTTTAGGAATCGAACCCAAGACTTTAGGGTTGTAAGGAAAGTTCGCTGACCAGTACTCGCTGGTTTCCAACGGTCCTGTTAGTACTTTCACTTCGTGATGAAGACTGAAATATGAGTACATGAAATAACAAAACCAATAATAATAGCCAATACCTGAAAACCAATTTTATCCCTTCTTCACTATTAACATCCATGTTACTGGAATTTCCTATGAGAACTTAAGCTTTTTATAACATCGCAGTGCATATGTTTTGAAAATCTGAGAATTACAATGAACAATAGTAAATTTGACCAAAATAGCGAAAAAAATATCAGATAGGTTACAGGATTTCATCATGAGCTGACAGCAGTTAGAGAACCAAATGGAAACCTGGTAGTACTGGACAGCTGTTTCGTCCAAGTAGTAAGGAACTTTGGCAGTAAAATGAACCAACAAACAACCTACCGCTCATTAAATATATAGAGGAAAGTGGAGATAGACCGAACATACTCTGAGGAGACCGTTGAGTGATATCACATACCAGGTAGGCATTCGGGTGGAACACAAATGGAAAACGATGAAATGGTAGTGTGTTTTTGGAGGATGTTGTGTGGGAAGAAAAATAAAAACTTACTGCCACTCGTAGAGGCAACTAAAAGTAGCTTCAGAGAACTGAATGAAGTAGAGATGTGCTGCTGCACATTCCTATATTCCACTCGGAGTCGAAGAGAATAATAACTGTAATGTAATATTATTTAAAATATACAGACTCCAATATTGCAAAGTGCGATTTAAATATTTGCCGCGAGCTAAATCACTTAACAATGCCATATTTGAAATTTGCACAAAAGGTAAGGATGTTGGGCTAGTTAAAGATAAATGCGACGATGGGAAATAATTAAAGCTTTTTAGAAACTGTAAAATAACAAAGAATGAATATATATGCGATTAGGAACGACCGTGAGACATATCAATCGCTAACAATCTTCATTTCTTGATTCTTATCATTTGGAAGCATGTTGTTGAAAAACATTGCTATCTGAAATAGGTATGATATACTTATATGCATATTACAGTGGAATTTCTGTCTGTTTGTTTTCGACATAGAACCTTGCACCGATGTGCACCAGTTCAAGTCGCCACACTCACTTCATGTAGCACACAAAGCAAGAGAAGAAAGTAGAAGAAATGCATAGTAGGGGCAGTAATCAGAGGTGTAGGACAAATGAATAGTAATAACGAAGAGCCATATAGTTTCATTGGAAATTATAATTCACAAGGAGTAGGTGCATCTGCGCCATTGAGAACGATTTTGAGCCATGTCACCAATTGTTTCAAGCCATTGGTTTTTACCATACTGAGGACCTCAACTAGTCTAAAAGTCTACACCTTCCTGCATGACTGGCCGGCTTAAACTAACTGTTGTGGATTTCATTGACTGATGAGGCCATGTTTTGGTTAGACTGCCACTAGCTATTTTCTTACCTGACCCTATACCAGCTAACATTGCTCTTCGAGGGAGGCGATGACTGTGTGTGCGTTACACATGTCCTAACCATCTCAGCCGATGTAGTTTCACAGTCTTGTTTATTGATTTCCCCTCCTTACTTAAAACTCGACACCTAAGCTCAACATTGCTCACCTTATTATACCATTCCACACGGGAATTTACAGATGAAATTTGGTATTCATAAAAACAAGCACTTAAGTAATAGAAGTTTACCTCATTCAACGTTCACGTACTTTATGACCGATCGTTGATAAGTCATATGTCGCTATACAGTGACTACCAAGGCAAACCACACTGTGCTAAGTGAATTAATGATACAAAATCAAGCCATACTACTGAATATCTTCATTCTCAATCCTAAAAGTCATCTTCAACGATATTAGTGTGGTGAGAGCTGTCTGCAAGACAAAGTTTTAAACAACAATTTACGTCTATATTTACGTCCCAAATCAGGGTCATGAGAAAAAAACAAGAACGAAGCCAAACCTTGAGGAACTCAACGACTAATCACAGCAGACTTAACGTGGGTGGATACGATTCGCAGATGTATCACCGGACTGTCTAGGAAACGGTCACAAGGAGATAATAGAATAATTTTCAGCAAGAAAACAACCAATCAGAAGACGTTACTTCTCTACTAACAATAAGGAATAATAATGTACATGAAAATCTGTATCTGTTGATTTTCTCAATAAACGGTCTGTTGCCTGGTCCTTGTCTTCTATCGTTACAGTATTAGTGGTTAATTAGTGTGGATTTTAACTCCACTGTTGTATGTCGTATGTCTGAGTACTAGACAAGATATAAACTTCGAGATCTACACTCATCAACATTAAGACACATTCAATGAAGGAGCAGAGCTCAATATGTTCAATGAATAATACATGATGACATAATGTTTTTTTTTCGCCTGAAACAGCGTAGTAGTTCTGAAATCCTAGAGTTACTATCTTCTAACAGTTATTCTTTCTGGGGATGATTGTAGCAAAACAAGCTTGCTACGCCTTTGTTTCCACTGACTAGAATGGGTAGGATGGCGAAGGTCAGTTAGCATTTGAACTTCCTTAGGTAGCTAAGATTACACAGTTTTGTTATTAGGTGTTTATGGGAATTCTGTAGTTATATCACATGTTATTTTCGTCTGTTTTAAAGATGTTTTACTGACCTGCTTTTGTACAACTAACCTATCTGTTTTGGTCCCTGTCATACTATGCGCAAATAAACACCTAGTGACTGCTTTTATTCTCACCTATTTTTAGGCTATGGTTAATTTATCTTCTTCGCCATTCAATCATTTCAGATATAATACCTTTATTTAAACAATAATGAATAAAACTGAATACAGATTGCCAAAACTGAATGACCCGCTTTGTGACACCAATTTAAATTCATTAAAATTCACTTACAAAATACAAGAGAATTTAAATAAACTTGAAAATCAAATAAATTTTAAACATAATCCCAATGATAATGACAATGATGGGAAGAATGAACCTGTACTCAATCAACAAAAACCGTTTATTTTAAAATTTATTGAACATCAAAATAGATTGTGTAGGTAAGTTGTTACTTAAACTATCTTACCTGTTTCTCGATATATTGATTGATTTCCATTACACTAATCTAGTCGACAAAATTAATAAAGTCTGAATGTAATTTTTGTATAATGTAGAAGTGAACCATCTGAAACTTTGCTGGAGTAGACGACTATTGAGTGAATGGCTATATTCACCACAAATTCTCGGTGTTTCCCTATCAGCCTTTAGTGACTTCACTGTGGGAGTAGCCCGATTCGAAGATTCAACTGATATAAGTAAACTTTGCTCAATTAACTTGTCTAACTCTTTCTTAACTGCATCTCACAAGCTGTATGGAATTGATCGGCGCTTTAGGAAGACAGGATCACCCTCTATTTCAAGATGGATGGGCTGAATCTTCATGCCACCTACACACTTTGAACATTGGAGGATTAATTCTCTGAACAAAGATTCATCAAACAACTCAGAGGAAAGTGAGATTTCGACATTCAACAATCTAAGGGCTTTTAATCCCAATAAAGATGGACTTTATTCACTAACAAGAAAGGGGATATTCACAAAACTACCACTGTCTGATTTCAAGCAAATGTTAGTAATATCAATAAGAGGTAGTTTATGACCAGTTATGCCGTGATCGAACTACTAGTAGGGTCCACCTGGGCATGCTTACAAAGCGATAGTAAATCTTTCTTAGAAATTATAGATCCAGTACTCCCAGTGTCAATTATAAAACAGTGAGACTTGCCTGAACTTGTAGTGAAGGTTCTCATTAGATTAAATTGACTATTGTGAAAAGTTGAGAGAGACACTGAATTCATTTTACCAGACAGTTTGGAAGAATCATGAGAATTCTGAGTAGCATAAGTATGTGAACCCCGACAAACAGACTTTATGTGCCCTCTTTTACCATATTTATTGCACCTAGCAACTCAAAAACGCCAAGTGCTTCGTAGACGAATCTTTCCACATGAAAAACACGATTTGTTGATTTTGCTTTCTGTCTGCATTCCATTAAACGTGGATGACAGTTTGGATTTCTTTTTATGAACAGATGTATTATCAGCTTTGGACGGCATGACGTCAGATACTGACGTAGTGGGAGCAGAGTATTCACTGTCGACATCTTCATATGTAATACATAAATCCTTAGAAGTTTGAAAGGTGCAAGAAGGAATCTGAATCAACTCTTTCTCTAACTTCAGAATATTGATTCCAGCAATTAGACGATCACGTAGTTGAGTATGGAGCTGATCTCCAAAGCCGTACTTTGAAGCTTGTATCTGAAGGTGAAGAATAAAGTCTCTAATCTTCTGGTTGGTAGCACGAACACGTTTGTTGAACTGAGTCCTTTCTCATGTTTCAAAAGTAGTTATATAGAAGTGATTTATTCATAATCCACGGAGTTTATCAAATGGCATAAAATTGGTTTATCTGGAAATGACAGAGTTTTCACTAGGCTGTACGCATCTAGCCCAATAGCAGTAATAAAATGAGCTGGAATTTTTTCATCGCGAATATTCTTTGACATGCACCATGCGTCAAAGCATTCAAGATAATCGGCAATTTCCCGCGGTGAACCATTTATAGGAAACTTTCCAAGATAATTATATTTCATAGTGACTCTAAAATGTTATTATTACTTGTAATAGTAGTATTAATATTTCGCAATGACCGAATGACAGGAAATCAACCAACAACACACAGAGAGAGAGATAAATTTAAGAATTTGTATTTGGCGGAATCATTTGTAATTCATTTAATAAATATTAACACACAACAGGAAGTATTTAAACAATATCGTAATAGGAATTGTCAATCACCACACCATCATTATTTCGAGGTACATTTAAAAAAAGGAGTTAATAGATGACAGAAAATGTTGAGCACTCCTATTAAACATTTGAAAGTCAGGGGATTTTCAGATAAAAACAAATGATTGATATACTAGCCTAGTGACTATATTTCAAATAAATTTTGGCAGATTTTTACCAGAGTTAGGGGGAAAAAAGCTACATCATTTCTTAAAGCCAATTTCATGTTTCCTGGTGATTGATTAGACCGAAATTTCCGCTTTTTGTTAACACGGTGGATCAGAATACGGACACTGCGACAGTGTCTGGGGATTAATTGGGAGTTATTTTGTGGGTGGTGACTTGTAGTGGGACCCAGGATGTATATTTCGCGCTATTTGTGACTCATCGGCTGGATGCGCCTGTAATCCCGAATGAGTGATGGTGTTCTCACTAAAGCTTGGATCCAGTAGCCATCTGCTAAAACTCTTAAACGCTATCCACTGGAGCACGCTCGTTTAGAGGTGAAGTCATCAGCTGTGTAACCAGTTTGACTCAATTATTCAGAGAGCAAAATTGGTTCATAGCACCCGATATCTGGCTAGATACTTGAACGAACTCCTTATACCGAAAAATCAAATTCTCAGTTTACACATTTTTTAGTTAAATTTTACTACAATATCTTTTGGGAACCGAGATGATTCAGATCACAATATTTGATCTGCTCGATGCGATAAGTGGTAATCAGGTGTGTGTGTGTGTGTGTGTGTGGGGAAGCATAAATGCATAATGGTACATCCTACAAACTGATTAATATGAGAAGTTAGGAACACTGTCGATGAGTTCGACACCAAATCAGTGAAACAGGTGTCTGGTGCTTAGACTATTTCGATCTGGCTAGCAAGTACTACCAGTTAATGTGAGTGGTACCCAAGTATTAATCTAAGTCAATCAGTACTATCTAGCATCACGCACTTATGGGTATCAAGGAGATTATATACTGTAATCTTAATAATTACGGTCTCCAGAAAAAATTGCGGTGAAGATCCACTTCAAACCGTGTAAACTGTAAAGAAAAGCAGAGGTGTTCAGCGAAGAGTTACTCCTCTTTCCAGCGATATACTTCTCAAGCTGTACAATCGCATTTATATGTACAGTAAATTATCTTAGCAATAAAATAAATATTTTGAAGATTTGTCATTATAATTTAAAACTTTAGATAACAAATTACGTGATTGGTGACAGGATTTCATCATGAGCTGATTTTCGGTTAGAGGATCACTGGAAAACCACCTCAGAGTACTAGAAAGCTGTTTCGTCAACCTAGTTTGCGGCCCTTCAGCAGTGCACAACCATCGGGGTTCAAACCCAGGACCTTCTCGTTACAATGCTAGCGAGCTCGTAGACCATTAAACCACTGGGACCCGATTCATTGGCAAGTCCATGAATTAGAACTTCCACCAATTCACGATATCAGTTCATGATCAATCGAATCTCTACAAACCAATACTTGAAGATCACGTAATGCGGAGAGCGTTAATCGGGCAGAAACTAAAATGAAATTATTAGAATTCTAAATTTTGGATAACAGATTTCGTTAATGGGTTAAAAACTAGAGTAAGATTAAATAAGTAATTTGAGTGAGGTATTCTAATTGACGGGATGGAGTAGAGCTTAACTAAGATTAAAATTGGACGAAAGTCAAGTTAACAACACCGGTAATAAGGGGTGAGAGAGAGGAAAATATTGTATAATTAAGAAACAAACAAGTAAGAGTGAAAGATGAAACAAAAATTACATATTTGGTGTTAAGAAAGATCAAGTCCATTGTAGATTTATCGATTGAACAAACTTCTTTTGTACGCAGAGTTCAGGTTTGTATATGTGAATTGCCATTGCTTATACGGCTTGATTTGTGTTCCTTTAAGCAGGATTCCCACGTATCCTGTAGATGACTCTGAAGTTAATTTTAGCTTGATGCCTAGATTCCATCGGGTGTTTGAGAATAAAGCTTCAAGGGGACTTTTTTGTGTTTTATAAAACCATGACTATGCGTAAGTGTTTGATGATACGTTTGGATAGCAGACGCTGGGTACGGCCAACATACCTAGCTCCATATTGAAACTGTCATCTTATCCCGTTCAACCTACTGTATGGTTGTGTGTAATTGCATGTAGTGAGTTCTATAGCTGTACTATTCTTTCGATTTCTTATCTTATTATTGGGATCAACTAATCTAGATTCCGCTAGGTTTTTATTCTTCGCTAGTTTGATTGTCCCTGTTCTCCTATTTTGACCTATGTATTTGACCTGACATTCATTGCAGACAGGGTATTAGATAAACTAAATTGTTTTGTTTTAAAGGCTCCACAGGGTTGATCCTTTAACCGACAAAGTGAGTTTTTAATTGAGTTTGTGGATGTGTTGAATGCCAGCCACTTTTATTCCTGACTTGTTAAGAATTCTCATTTGTAAGGTTTCCGAGGTTCCTTCCTTGTATGGAATTACCACTGAAGATTTAGATTCCTTATTGTTGGTGTTGTCATTATCCTGCTCATGTTTGACGTTCATGCATGTTTATCTAATACCCTGCCAGAATATGTAGGTCAAAGTAGTAGAACTGGGGCCAGTCAGTCAGACTAGCCGAACATAAAAACCTAGCAGCGAAATCTAGATTAGTTGCTCCGAATAAGATAAGAAATCTAGAGAAGAGTTCAGCTTTAGATACCACTCACTACATGCAGTTGCACTCACAACCACACAATAGGCTGGATGGGATAGGATGACAGTTTTAAAATCTAACGCAACTAACATGGTGGAGGGAGAGATTAATAACAGAAGTTTTGTTTATCGAATCAAGTGAATACATGTAATAGGAATGATTCAACTCCTGTCCACCCAGATATCTGGAAGATTCTACTATCCCAGCGACGACAAATAGGAGAGAACAAAGAAAACTATAAAACTCAAGTTTCGAAGTCGTGTGATTATAATTGATGAAATAATTATGAACAATAAATTGTGCTCGAAACTGTGTCATCCAGTAAATAATAACACTGTTTCCCTGACTGTATGATACATCTAATAAACAAACTAATATGGAAATACCTAGCTCCACACGAGTAGGTGCTGAGAAAATTAACTGTATATATGCTATTGAACAGTTTGGAAATGATATCGCCGAAAAGAGTAACTCTTCACTGAACGCCTTTTCTTTTATATGACTCAATGGTAAATTGCAAATTGCCAGTTCTACCCAATATAACTTTTCATTATAATTAAACTGCCACTAAATTAAAACGCCTGGATATATATGTCTCATATTTCCAGCATATTTTGAACTCAGGATACAAAGCAGCATTGTAGTGAAAACCGTCTGCAAGTCAAAATTGCAGACAACAATATACGTCAATGTTGTTCACATTCCGATTCAGGGTCATGAGAAAAACAATAACAAGGCTTAACCTTGAGCAAATCACCAGCCAATCACAGATGAGTTAAAGTGTGAAAATATAATTCACACAGATGTATGACTCGATTTTCAGAGAAACGGCCACAAAGAGATAACAGAATAACTTCCAGTGAGAAAATGACTAGTCAGAAGACGCTGTTTCTCTGCTAACAATATCACGCTAATAATAATGGATATAAAAATCCATAAATACCTCTTGATTTTCTCAATGAACGATTTGTTGCTTGGCTGTTGTCTTCTGTCGTTAGAGTATTTACTTAATTCTCCCCGTCTCAATTCATTCATCCTCCATTGGTGGGAAAACAAAGCTTTATGTACGAGAGAATTCAGAAATACCTTGAATCTAGAATGGATACACTAGTATTTTGTTAATGGAAGCCAGTTACTTAGCCTTTCAGGTCACTCCAGTTCACGATTAGGGGGCGGGGAGCGGGGGGGGGGGTCATAAATGTTTCGACTAGAATACAGAATCTATCATTAGATTTCAATAGCTCTGTCAGCTGACAGTGATTCGTGATTATGGCCCCTGAGCCCTCTAAATGAAAGTCTCTCTGTATGAATAGACTTTTTTTTTATACTGATTTATTTGTGATTCAGAGTTATTTGACTTAAATTTTCACTTTTCCACGTACAATAAAAATTTAAGAAATACGGCTTCACATAAAAGGATAAAGAAGTATTCAATGGAAAAAAAGAAATTACCAATAGTAGAATGTATGCAGTGCTCTTTGACAAATGTTCCGAAAACAAAAACACCGAAAGAAATCAGTCATAATGATAAAACTAGTCAAAGTAAGAGATAGTGCAGCTTTTTAATCATAATTTAAAACTTCAAAATGATCTACTAAATAACTGTCAAAATAGCATTATTTTTGCTTAGTAGTTTCACCATACTACTTGCTAATTGAAAGTAGCAATGAATATATGTGTATTTAAGTTAATTTTGTATTTTTACGGGAGGTTGAAGGTGAGGACAGTTATTCATCGAAGAAGATGTTGCCATGTCGCGAATTGGCAGAAGTTATAATTTATGGACCATTGGATCATGTCCCTAGTGCGTCAGTGGCATAGCGGTTAGGACGCTCGCCAACCATGCACATGGTCCGGGATTCAATCCCGGCCAAAGACGCACTCCTTTACCTCGCCAAGCCAGAAATAATGCTGGTAAAGAGGAATGGTTGGACATGAGGCTAGTAACCCCATCCTACAAAATAAACAGCACTGCTACAGAAACTTCAAGCCACTAGCTTGAAGCCCTATGTTCCACTGGGGAACGTGAAGGAAAGGATTATGTCCCGGTGACTTAATCGTCTTCGAACCCTGGTGGTGTGTGCGTACTCCTGAAGAGTCCCAAAGTAGGCTGACGAAACAGCTGTCTGGCAGTACTCCCAGGTGGTTTTCCAATGGCTCTGTAACTGATGACAGCTCATAATGAAATCCTCTAACCAATTAATTTTGTATTTATCGTTGATTGATTATATTGGACTGAAATGGTCCGTATCTGTCGACATGTAGGCTCCTTGTAGGGATTCTTCAGCGATGTCTGAGGAATAACATAATATTGTTTGATGGATGGTGACTAGTAGTGGAATCCAGAATGTGTATTTTGACATACTCACGACACTATTTGAAGTGAGTATAGAAGAGAAGGAGCCTAGTTATTGGAAGAGAGGTTACTCTATCAAAATTCGAAATAGGGTCGAATTAATCATATGCGAGAACTGACGTGGAATTATACTCTTGATCACTGCAAGTAAAATATCAAGTCACGTCATCACGAAGAGACTAAAAGATGAATTAATGAGTATCAGGCTGAATTTACGGAAAGCAAATCATGCAAAAACCAAATCACAGAACCTCACATTATCGTCATCACCATCGAACACAGCTTAGATGACAGTCAACTCTGTACCTAAGTATCATCAAGTTTGAAACAGCCTCCAGCAATGTTTACTGTGAAGTATTTGGGAAATGCTTCAACACAAAAGAGTTTAGCAAAGATTGATAGAACTCACTCAACACCTATATGATAGTGTTGCATGCTAAGTAATTCAAGATGGGAAGCTCACTGAGTCATTTGAATTGGAAGCAACGGTAAGGCAAAGCTATATATTTCACCAGTGACATTCCTTACTGTAGTGGACTGGATCATACGACGGTAAGCATGATTTAAATCTATTAAATGATCCTAGAAGATTTAGATTTCTCAGTTGATTGTTATCTCATGTCGCAGAAACTCGTGGAAGTTTAAACGAAAGCCGACAAGTTGACAGAAAACTCAGTGAAAAGAAGGAATTCCGGTGAACATTGGGAAAGTAGAAGTAACGAAGATATCTCACAGGCTACAATAAACACTCATCTTCATCAATGGGGGGAATGTAAAGTAGGTCGGCAACTTTTTCCTTACCACTTCGACGACATCATTACAATCAGAGACAGCATGGATTAGGATGGTGAAGCCAGTTAGAGAGGTGTTCATTAATCTAAAATCAGTGCAGAGACCCTCAACACCTAACAAAAGAAACGAGATGCCGATTATCGACAGTAATGTCAAATCGGTGCCTCTATACATGTAACTGGGGGCCGTTAGATCATTCATGAAACAGGCATTTAGTTAGGTTATCAGTGAAACTTCAGCAATCAAATTAGCCCGAAATTACATAAAACAGAAATGGAGCAATACCAATTTTGAATATATGGAAAACTTTATTATAATATAGGTGGGGCTAAAATTATTTGGTGCAAGTTAGCAAGTTATGTAAATACACATTGATATGATAATGAATAATGAATCGTGCTCACAGCATCATCTGCTTATTGATACTATGTATCTGAAAGTCAACTGGTGGATGGTGAACACAAGAGGTGTCTCTTATGGCCCAAGTGGTCTAGTGGATGACGCTTTGGCATTTGAAACTACGGGACCGAGTTCGAGTCTTGTTGGGAATACCATCAGTCACTGGGGAATGCAGGCTCATCCAGTAGACGACTCCCAAATATGACGAAATGCGTGTTGTCCTGGATTCCACTGCTAGTCACCACCTATCAATTGAATTCAAGTTCCCGACCGAAGTTTGCTACTTGAAGTGGTGGTCGGGCTTGCACACTGCAATGACTTCCTGGTTGTTGTCATCGGGATGGTAAGAACCAATGGATGGATACAATCGGTGATATGGCTCAAAATCGTTCTCAATGATGGCTGGCGCAGATGCATCCACTCCTTATGACTTATAATTTCCAATGAAACTATGTTGTTCTTCGTTATTACTATTCCTTTGTTTCACATCTCTGTTTACTGTCTCTATTGTGCATTTCTTCTACTTTCCTCTCTTGCTTTTTGTGTGCTACATGGAGGGAGTGTGGTGACTTGAACTGCTGCATATCGGTGTAAAGTTTTATGTTGGAAACAGATAGAAAGACAGAACTGACTTCAAGTTATATGACAAGACATCGTTGAGGCAGCTGTACAAGTGAGTACTCAAGATGTCAACCTGAGACCAAGCACTTCAGTCCAATCAATCGATTGCAAAATCTAAATTTAATTAAACTATCTTTATTATCCTGTGGGTCTGTGGCACAACGGTTAGGACGCTGCCGACCATGCACATGGTCCCGGGTCAGATCCTTAGCCGATGCACAACTGATATCATTGGTCGGCCTGTCAAATTCGGGCTACCGAAATCACATGCTGAAAATTACATACTTGTACCATAAATACTGTGTGGAATCAAGCTAAAATCAGAAAATTATACCATCTTATAAATTTATCTAATTCGGAAGTATTTTTCTTTGTTAGATAACAGTGAAAAGCTGGATGGTAGACACTCAGAGAAAGACAGTGCGAATAGCCCGAAAACGGTGTAAGTTTGACCGAATCAAATTCACAGTTTATTTTCTTCACAGAATATCTTATATATATGTTCAGCAAGGAGGCTCTTTTGTACGAATTCACTATCAAGTTGTACAATCCTAAATCATTTAGAGAACTCTTGGGTAACCACCAGTGTTTTTCTAAATAACATCGAATGAATAAGTGTCAAGGAATCACAGTTCAGTGTTTCGAATCATTGGACAGAAAGCCTTTGACTAAGGTTTCGTACTTGTTGGCACTCGTCAGCAAGACATATCTGTAGCCTTGAAGGAAATCATGTCCCTTCTGCGATTCATGCCGAGGCCACCCAATGTTGCAGCCAGAGATGTTACTACTGTGGTATTCAGGTTTGCAATTGACCTCTAGTAGGACAGTAATGAATATTCTGTCAAGATTTGACAGAATAATGGTTGTAAAATATAATTGGGCGCCGATTGAGAAGTAGATATTTGTAAAAAAATTATATTTGTGTAAAATCTCAGCGAGATTGAAATGAGTAATTCCAACTATTTTGTCAAATATTGACGATAGTTTATTTGATGAATGATGAAACTATGGTAATTGGCGCAATCAGCGTGTTTCCACTCTCCATTGTCTGCAACAGAATAACGCATATCCTAAATCCGTAGCTCTTCAATCACCTGACAAGTCTCCAGTAGGTCGAATAAAGCAGCTCATTTTTCAGAAAGAAGACAAAGTAATAAGTTTGACAGGGTGCATTTCAACTAAACTCTAATCCTAAACACCATAATTTTGAAAATACGTCTAATCATAAAATTCTAGATACTAACAGTTTGAACAGATATGAAGGTGTGAGATGTGTTAGCTGATGCATAGGACAATCCTGATTAATAAGTAAAAATGGATATGTATCACTAATTAATAATACTTGGTTACAGGATTTCATCATGAGCTGACATTAGTTAGAGAACCATTGGAAAACCTGCAGGGAGTACTGGACAACTGTTTCGCCTAGTTTGGGACTCTTCATCAGTACGCACCCAGTACTTCCAGGTTTTCCAATGGTTCTCTAACTAATGTCAGATCATGATGAAATCCTGTAACCAATCAAATCCCTACAAACCAGCACTTGAATAATGATACTTGGTCAAAGTTCCCGACTGTCTATATCTTCTTATGGAGAGGTTAAGAAATGTTTTACAACTGTTTACCCACACACACACTCTGTTTAAAGTGTTTGACAAAAGATAGACCAATATTTGTAAGTCCGAGGTCAAATTTTGATCACAGCTTATACAATTTTGTTTATTTTACTTGTTGATACTTGTTTTATGAATCATGATTGGACAAAGTTTTTAAAAACAAGAGAGGTCGCCCTTTTTATCTATTATTATTACATCCTTTAATTCCTAGAGAAACATAGGGCTTCAACTGCACATCACCATTTAATTAGGTTCTCTGCTAAATTTTTCACCTGGCTCCAGGTCTGTCCACAAGCTTTCATCTCCTCTTGACATGATTTCCTTCAACTCACCCTTGGACGACCAACTCGCCACTTCCCATGCGGGTGTCACTCGAGCAATGGCTTGTCAAGTGATAACACTTGATGGTTTCCTCATAGTATGCCCAATCGATCTCCATTTATTCCTGCTCATTTGTTGCACAATCGGTTCCTGTTGGGTTGGTTCTACCCCAGAGATCCCTCCCTATTGCTGATCTTTTCTGGCCGGTCATCTGATCTTGAGTATTGAGTGAAGACAGCTAGCTGTTAATGAAGGTCTGTAGTTTTTTCGAGGTGCTCTTTATGACACGCAGTGCAAGTCTCGGATCCGTATAGTAAGTGGCACTGACTTCACATTGGAGTTGAAAATCCGGATTTTATTTTTGATACTGAGTAGTGCTGTTGACCTCCACATAGACTTAAGAGTAATGAACCTCTGTTATGTTAAATTACGATTAATTTCCGTGAAGAAGTACAGACCAGATTGCCGAATGTAGGAAACATTGGAATTATTCATTTCAATCTTGCTGAGATTTTACACAAATATGATTTTTTTTACAAGTGAGATACCAGTTTCATTTATTAAGAGAATCTCCTTTCCAATCTTCCTTCTTTTTTTTTTTCGTTATGTATAGCACTGAAAGTATACGAATTACCTTTGGTGACGCTAATATTAATGAATGTGTAAAAACTGTTTCTTACCTAAACAGTAAGTATTAAATGTCTTCTACAATGTATACCACTATGATAAGCTTGTATAAGTTACTTTCTTCATCTTTTCTAAATTAATTTACTTTACACACATTGTTTAAATTAGTCGATATCACTCTCTAAGTATCCTGACTAAGATCCCAGTGAGGCAGCCTACACCTCACTAAGTGACTGGCTCAAACCATCTGAGAAATTATTATTAATTATTACTCTTCCCTTGGTTTCCGTGTGGAACATTTGGCTTCAACAACACATCTCCACTTTCTTCTCCTCTTTGCTTTCCTCTTCAGCTGGATCGAGGACTAACTATAATCTCTCATCTCCTCCACGTCAACCCAAGGATGACTCACTTGTCACTTCCCATTGAGGTTCCACTCGAACAATCGCCCAGAGCGCGATGTCATTTGACAGTCTCCTCAGTGTTTGTGTGCTGTGTACACTACCCATCTCAATTTTCCCCTACATATATTTGTTGAGCAGTCGGCTCTTGTTTGTTTGTTTGTTCTGTTTTCTTCTTCTCCAGAGTTTCTCATTGCTAGTTATTTCTGGCCATCTGATTGATATTCGAAAACATTTATTTCCTGATACGAATTTAAAACAAGCAACAAGAGGAGGTTAATAAAGCAGGATTTAGTGAATTCATCAAATTTCGGTAGAACTCGTCAGCTGCTCACTACTCTACATACACGGATATATATACTTTTGAAATTACATTGGGAGATATAAGACTGATAGCCAAATAAACTACATTGAATTAGTCATGCAGAAAGACAAGTGAGGATGTCTTCCAGGTCACGTTCAAATAAATAAGCGGGAGGAAGGGAGTATGAGAGATCAAAATTAAGATAAATTGCATTACGCTTCAACTACATCACTTAGATAAACAATTAGTCATTAGGGAATATAACGAGAATTGTAAACAGACTAATATCAATAGTAATAGTTATAATAATGATAGTGTTGAAGTGAGTGAAGATAATCTTGCTGATGAAACATAGTTTTAAATGAATCAATAATAATGATAATAATAATAACAATAATAATAAAAAGAAGAGGTAGAATACTAGTATTTCAACTAATGACGGTGAATTTGTGGATCAAATAATAATTGTAATAATGTGCTGAATGTTTTGAACGTCAGTAATAACAGTGGTTATAATGATAACAGAAATAATCATTTAAAACAAGCAATAAAGGTTAATAGAGCAGGATGATTTAATGATGGATTCATCAAATTTCGGTAGAACTCGTCAGCCACTGAATACTACTCTACATACACGGATATATACATATACTTTTGAAATTACATTGGGAGATATAAGACTGATAAGCAAACAAACTACATTGAATTAGTCATGCAGAAAGAAGACAGGTGCGAATGTTTTACAGGTCGTGTTCAAATAGATAAGTGGGGGAGAGAGAGTATGAGAGATCAAAATTAAGATAAATTGCATTACGCTTCAACTACATCACTTAGATAAACAATTAGTCATTAGGGAATATAACGAGAATTGTAAACAGACTAATATCAATAGTAATAGTTATAATAACAATAACAGTAATAATAGTGTTGAAGTGAGTTAAGATACTCTAACTGATAAAGCATAGTTTTAAATGAATCAAGAATAATAATAATGATAGTAATAATAACAATAATAATAAGAAGAAGAGGTAGAATAATAGTAATAACAAGTAGAGAATAATAAGTAAAACGTATTACCATGGTAGATTCAGAGTGACGACCATGTCCTTTTGTATACAGAGAGCTGGTTTATAAATTCGAATTGTACAAGCCTCTGCAATTGCAAGCATTTTCTTGTTTCTTTGTTTGCTGACTGACAATATTGAATGACTCGACCGCGTCGATATCATGTCCGTAATCCACAAGATGTTTTGTTATTGAGAATTTTGGCACTTTGCACTCAGCTGTTTTCAGCCATTTTGGCAAATGCTACATCATGCGAGTAGACAATCGCCTTTCCGTACGACCTATGTATTCGCTGCCACAAACACACTCAAATTGATATATGCAGCTTGAAGTGTCGAGGATTGGCGACTGGTCTTTCCCAGATTGTTGAAGCACTCTTTTGGTGGTGTTGAAGATAACAAGTTCTGCAGCATAATAAGTTCTCTTGATGGCTTTGTCGAGTCTTCGTTTCACTACTTCCTGTACGTCATCTCCTTTGAACGGCAAATTGATATAGACAGGTTTCTTTGGAACTGTTTGAAATGTTTTGTAGGGGGTAGTTTCTTTAGAGTATTCATTATTGAACTGTTATGTACTCGTCGCTAAATTTATTGTTATAGACTGGTCGAGAATTTAATAGTCCTGACGCAAAGAAGGCGGAAATCAGAAGACCACTAGGTTTGCGATGATACTTCTATTGTCCAAAAACAAGGAGATGAAAATAAATGGTCTCACACCAAAGTGGTAAATAAGTAAAGTAGTTCACACAAATTGTGTGAACGAAATATATATATATATATATATATATATATATATATATATATCAAAATATAGCAGACATGACAATAACAACCATATATGGATATATGTCACTAAGCAACGGACTGTCAACAAACACTCATATTATATTATAATGTAATATAAGGAGAATATACATTGTTAAAGGAGACAGGTTCATCAAAGTGAAATGGTCACAGACTAAGAGAGCAAAACAGAAAGAGAGACCAACATACACACACATAAATATATATATGTGGATACATATCAGAACTTCTCAGGATATCCATTCTTAGATAAAATATCATTCAGAGATTTTATTTCATGTTCAATAGTACTGTCAGAATAAATTTTTGGTGCTCTATTGAACAGTGTTCTGACTAAGTTCTTGTTGTACTGGATTGGAACAAAGCTTTTGAAATGCATGTACTGTCCTGTCCATGAAAACTTTCTAAATATAGATCTTTCGATTGTGCCATCATTCATTTTGGCTAGAAAAACGTCTAGGAATTTAGTAGTATCGTTTTTTCTCGTGTTCTACTGTAAAACTGAGATTTGGATGGCATGGACTGAATTTTATTAACATGTCTTCCACTTTTGAACTGCTTTCACAGACAATAAAAATGTTATCAACATATCTTAGGTATACATCCGTTTCTTGTATATATGTTGCTGTTGATATTCAATAAAGAGCATGAGCGGCTGCGCATAAAAGTCTGCAACCAATTGAAAATTATCCACATGTGACTTGCCAGTTTCCTGACCAATATACATAGAAGCACTGACTGACTTCATAATTGTGTTGAAAATCTGAGTCTCCTTCTTTATGCTGAATGAGTTCAGAAGATTTCCAAACAGATTTATGATTTCAATATGGCATTCAGACATTCATTCAGACATCTATTAAAATACAAAATAATTGAGCAAAGAATATCCTTATCGATAGATAATTTCCTCTTCTGGCTGTACAATTTCTAGTATTTCATTTCTAGACATCCTTATAACCAGAAAAGAGGATGGTACAATAAGAAAAAGGGTATATAACAATAACAATTTCGCTTTATTCCAGAAACAGTACTTGTGGTACAGTGTGGAATTTTCAGCACATATCTACAATATTGCATCTAATTTCATCGTACATTTAAAAGGAGTATTATAAAAAAAAAACAAAAAAACCAAAAAAAGAAACAGAAATAACAAAAAAACATAAGAAAAAAATGCAAATAAAAATACCAAGTAAAAAGGAAGATAAACACAAATAATGAAAAAAAATATTTCAGTATTGGTTAGTGGAAGCTACGATATGTGTATGCGTGGTGGACAGTAACAGCTACAATCATACAAGAAATTATGAGATGTTCTTAAAAATGTTTATAGCCAAGATGATCAGTTAATTTGATTGAACAACACTAAACAATCATAAGATAAACATTTCAGGTTGTGTTTTTTTATTGTCAGCACTAATGCGGTGTTTGTAGTGGTAGTGTGAGGAATCATGCATAATACAAAATTTTTTAAGATGGTGATAGTGGCGTTCACAAACATGATTGTCAGTTAAATAGTGCCGAACAAAGAACAACCACAGAACTAATGTTACATGATGGTTAATGACGGGACAATTTTTTAATAATCATAGTGATAATATAGTCGGACCCAGTAGATATACAAAAGAAGGAATAGAGTAAAAGTGCAAAAAAGTAAGCCAACGATAATTAATTTTAAGCAGCTAAGTATGTTTAGGAAGGTTGTTCACTATAGAGTACAAATAAGAGAGTATAAGGGGAAATAACAAGGGCCAAAATTATGTTATTAACAACAAAGCATGTCATAGGTTTCACGCTTAACATTGTCTCTGTCACTTAGAACACGCTGGCCAAATGTGGTATCGTTGAGTTCCTATACTTGGTTGTACGAGCATATATTATTTTGTACTGATTTCTGGTTCTACCTGATGAGACGCAAGGAGAGAGTTGGGAATAGAGGGGGTGTTGGGGGTTGGAGAGTATGGTTTTAGACCATTTCTCGCATGTATTCAGGTGCTTATCCACTAATGTTGTGACTAGCTGACTGAGTTTTACACCGCTAGTCCTACTAACTACCTTCAACATCCTTCTCAGGATGGTATAGTCCTTTTTCAGTAACCCAGGAAAGACTAACGGGGAACAGTAAAGTAGAATAGGTAGGATACGAGAGTTGACAAATTGTGAAAGCAGAGGTTGAGGGACTCCAGTTAGTCTGAGTTTCTTAATGTAGTAGGTTAGACGAAACACTTTTTTGGAAATCATTTGGATATGAGATGACCAGGTAAGGTCGGAAGATATAACTAATCCGAGGTATTTTGCATTAGACTTTGTTTCAATTATAGTCCCCTCAATTCTACAGACATCATGAGTATATAGAAAGCCTACATCGACTGGTCAGTATACTCATTTTCTCAGCTTTGTGCCCTTGAAATACAAAGGCAATATGATAAAGTGCTTGGTTCAGAGAGCAAGAGAAATTTGTTCGGATGAATGTTTTGATAAGGAATCTAATAATATTAAACGGTTGCTAAGTGAAAATGGTTATCCAGAAAAGTTTATTGATAAGAATATTGAATCTAAAGTCAAAGCAGCCCAAGTTACCAACAGTTCCAAAAGAGGCCTTATTCTTACAAATTCATTTCCTTGAGGAAAGTATCAGCGAGATACTAACATAACGCTTGAAGAATGCAGTGAAAAGAGCATTCTCTGCTGCTGAATTATGCTGTGTCTTCAAAACCATTCTTCTTTCGCGTTCGGGAGTAAAAGACAAACTGCCTAATTTCGCCTCTTCCATGTGTATCTACCAATGTAACTGCTCTTATGGAGTTAGCCAGTTGGTTGTATAGGCCATACAATTAGGCGTGTTTCTCGTCGGATTTCCGAACATCACCCTGCATAGTGGTTAACCAAACGACGAACAAAATCTATTCATATTGCGCTATTCTATCTCATCTTGTGGATACACAGAACACAAGATTGACTTTAACCATGCTTTCAGGGTCATTCAACGCATACCAACAAATCTTAACTTCGCCTTAAAAGTTTGATTACTAAATATTGCTGAGAATGACTGTTGGGATCCATATTAAGAAGCCTAATTTGTCCTTCCAAAAGAAGTTAGTTCAGACATTATCCTTACCTTGGCCATCTAGGTTTGAATGATCCTGAACTTTTGTGGAATTTCTCTAATTTTAGTTGATATTCTATTTGCTATTGTATCTTTATTATTATGATTTAAGCATCTTTAATGAACTGTAATTCCATTACGATCTTACTTCACAAATCGACATTATTAAAAAAAAAAACGCCAATATTGTTATTGACTAATATTTTAGAATATTCTGTGTATATAAATGCACATGTATATGTAATTACCAAGCCAGAAGAGGAATTTATCGAAAATGATATTCTTTGCTCAATTATTTTGTGTTTTATAGATTTATAATTAATGAAGGTGTATTTTACCGTTCGGATTCAGGCTGTCTTTGAACCTTCATCTGTACCGTGTGTCTGTAGTTGAAACCGTGCTTCCTAGATAAATAAATGAAGTGACATCTTTCAAATTTATTCCGTCGATAGTGATTGCTAATGTTTGATGTTATTGGTGCGAAGTTATCTTCATAACTTTCATCTTGTCCACGTTCACCTGGGGTCCTGTCTTCACTGGCTGCTTCTTCGGCCAGTTTGTTTGTTTTCCCTGTTGAACTTCAGGTTCGTGTGACATTAGACATATATATAATCAGCAAAACCTAGATCTGGCATAGTTTTCTTATTGCTGGTGCAGCGTATTCCTGTCCTCTCACTCCTCACAGTCCAACACATCATCCAGTCGAATACAATTGAGAATATCACCGGTGGAAAATAGGCAGTCTGTATTCACCAGTTGCGAAAGACTTCATGGATTGATGCTAGGTTTTGGTTCTAATCAGCCCCAACTCTTTTCCAGGCTAACCCTACATCATCTAACATCATTTGACGAGGAAGGAGGCACTCCACCTGCGTAATACGTGTTCTAATTACTGTATTTTCACAACCTCATCGACAAACTTTCTCTCTTTACTTAACATTACACCTCTAAACTCAATATTACTCTTCATAACTCACTAACTAACACTGGAGATAGAAGGCACACATCGCTGGTTGAAGACGGATAAGCTTTTCTTACCTTCCAATTTCTTATGGCTATGTTTGATAGCCATAAGGAAGCCTAGGGAGGACTTCTGCACAGTATACACGCTCTTCAGAACAATATCTTACACACGATCAATGAAATAAATTAATAGCGTAACGGATATATAGGGGCAATTGAACTTATTATTGTCATTCCCTTTGGGTTCTGCGTTGTATATAATAGGGCTTCAGTGGCACATTTCCATTTCACTGACTTTTCTACATTCTTTTTCTAGCTGGCTTCACAAATAATCATAAGGTTGCATTTATTCCTCATACGACCTTATCCATTTCACCCTTGAAGCAACATCCAACTTGTTGTTCGTCATTCAGATTACACTCGAAGGTATGCATAGGGCGTGATGTGATTCAATTGAAATTGAACTTAGTTCATAGGGAAATAAATTTTTCCACTTTGAATTTTCAGGCTGCTATAAGAGATGAATACATTTCTCTGTGCCTTGATTTAATTAGTTGTTTATTTTTGAGTAATTACCTCTGTCTGACTTCGAAAATGTTGGGAAAGTTGACGTATCACACGACAGGCTGTGATATGATTTAGTATTGAAGATATGCTTACGTATATATCATGATATTTGGTTTTAGTATATAATATGTTCATCAGTGATTTGGATGACATTACTACTGAAGAAGGTGTGGAAAGAGGGCAGGGTACCCGAGGATTGGAAGAAAGACTACTTATTCAAACTGCCAAAGAAAGGAGACTTAAGTCAATGAAAGAAGTGACGCGAAATTATGCTCCTATCCATCCCAAGCAAAATACTAAGCTGCATCATCCTGGAGAGAATCAAACACGCTGCCCTGGATGAAAAACTTCGACCTGAAAAGGCTGGATTCAGGAGAAACAAGTCATGAATCGATCAAATCGCCACACTACGGATCATCACTGAACAGAGCTTGGAATAGCAGTCAGCTCTCTATCTCAGCTTCATCGACTTTGAAAAGGCCTTCAGCAGACAGCGTCGATCAAGAGGTGATTTGGCAACTAATTCGCTACTACAGGGTGCCACCAACAATTATACATCTCCTCCAACAGTTGTACGACAATGCTGCATACCAAGTAATCCACAACGGGAACCATACGGAATCCTTCGAAGTGAAGACAGGAGTAAGAAAACACTGCCTACTATCGCCAATGATCTTCTTTATTGCGATAGACTGGATAATGCGACAGACAGCGGGCAATGAGGAAACAGGCATAAAATGGACCCACACAAAAAACCTGGAGGATCTGGACTTCGACGATGATATATGTCTGATTTCCCACAATCCAGAAGATATGCAAGTGAAAAGCAACAAGTTGGCAATTGAAGAAGCATCAAAGATAGGCCTTCAGGTGAACATAGATAAAACAGAGGTGATGAAGATTCCTGGCCAGCAACAACAGACAACAATCATTACAAATGGGAGGAACCTGAAAAAAGCAACCTCCTTTACCTACCTACCTGGGGGAAGCTTCATTCCAACTACAGGCGGAACTGACGACGATATCTAAGCAGGGATCGGAAAAGCAAGACAAGCCTTCGTTTCTATCAACTCTATGTGGAGATCAAGAGCACTACTCAGCATGAAAAATAAGATCCGGATTTTCAACTCCAATGTGAAGTCAGTGCCACTTACTATACGGATCCGAGACTTGTACTGCGCGTCATAAAGAGCACCTCAAACAAACTTCAGACCTTCATTAACAGCTAGCTGTCTTTGCTCAATACTCAAGATCAGACGACCGGCCAGAAAAGATCAGCAAAAGGGAGGTATCTCTGGGGTAGAACCAACCCAGCAAATGAGCAGGAATAAATGGAGATGGATTGGCAATACTATGAGAAAACCATCAAGTGACATCACTTGACAAGCCATTGCTCCAGTGAAACCCGAATGGTAAGTGACGAGTTGGTCGTCAGTTCGAGGATGACATGGAGTGGAGGAGGTTACATGAAGAGGAGATGAAGGCTTGTGGGCAGACCTGGAGCCAGGTGAAAACTTTAGCAGGGAACCGAACGCAATGGAGACGTTTGGCTGAAGCCCTATGTTTCTCTAGGAATTAAAGGAAATATTAATAATAACAATCTGTGATTTGAATAAAATACAGCAATGTTAAATGAATAGGAATCCTTGAAGAGTGTCGAATGAATGTTACAGTCTTCTTGAGTTAAATGATGAAGGGATTCCAAACAAAATTGTTTTAGGGAAGTCAATACTTTTAAACGCGAGGGAGTATTAGAAAAGTGGCTGATATGTATCCATATATATATATATATATATATATATATATATATGGTGATCTCTCTTTCTGTTTGCTCTCTTAGTCTGTGACCATTTCACTTTGATGAACCTGTCTCCTTTAACAATGTATATTCTCCTTATATTATATTATATATAATATGAGTGTTTGTTGACAGTCGGTTGCTTGGTAACATATATCCATATTATATGTGTGGTTGTTGACATGTCTGCTATATTTTGCTATGTATATATGGATCGATACTTCATTATAATTAGCCAATCATGTTAAGACTGTCTATTGATTTGTTCACACACTTGTCTGGACATTCATATATATTTCGCTCTCACAATCTTGTGTGACTACTTTGGTGTGATACCACTTATTGCTTCTCCTTGTGTTTGGAAAATAGAAGTATCATCGCAAACCTAGTGGTCTTCTGATTTCCATCCTTCTTGCGTCAGGACTATTAAATTCTCGACAAGTACATAATAATAATTTAGCGACGAGTACATAACAGTGGCACAAAAAAGATGCGGAATATATATATATATATAATTAAGGGAGACATAAGTACAAGAAGTATTTTATACGCCTTCTAATCTGTAATTCAATTGATTTAATATTAAGAGAAACCAATGAAACGAGAAGAAATGGTGCTTTCTACTCATCAAGGAGGACTAAACGTAAGTAAATATATATATATGTATATGTATATGAACTCTTTTGGGTAATAGTTTCCAACCAAAGGTTCTGTCAGTGTTCTTCCCTCACCTTCAAGTCTCATTATGTCATATGTACATATTCGCTGGATTATACAAAAAAGGCAGGTTAAAAGAGCTCTTTATTTTTGGACAGGATAAAAGCAGCAGTTATTAAGATATTGTCCTGTTCAGGTGGATTCTGTGTATTTAGATTGTATTCATTTATTAGGCTGTCAAGTGAGCGACATACTTTTGGAATGATAAACAGTCAGTCATCTTTCTTTTCTATACATATAAGTGGTATAGAGTGGAGTTATACTCTACTATACTGTCCAAGTTTTATCCTTATATTAAGCGGTATAAGGGACTTAATAGCGAGCTCGGTAATGAGACAAATATTGGAATAAAAATTCAAGGTAATGAAATCATACTGTAACAGTATATATTGTAAAAAATACAGTCAACGAGTTATATAAATTAATGGTTACTTGGTGATACAGTTGAACTCTGCTGCTACAAATTATTGATATAATCCACAGAAATGTTCACTACTGGAGTCATGCCTATTAGTAGAAGCTGTGCACCCGTTGTAGAATAGTCTTCGAATGAGAGGTTATTGCAAAATCTGAAGGATACAACATAGTTAGCATTGAAACAAGTAGACAGTATGAACAAATGAGAAGAGGAGGCGCCGAGAAGCACACTGCATTTTATATTGTACTCTGAAGTTACGTGTGTATTTTACAACGAATCATTTTAAACATGTAACAGAAAGTTGTACAGTCATATTGTTCTGTACTCCACAATGGTATACTGTTTTGCACCTCATCTAATCGGTTTAAAATTCAAGAAGCACAACTAGAACTGTCACTAATGACTGAAACATCACTAACACATCTTGTATAAACTGATACATTTTTAATTAAATCTGTAAATAAAATCTGAGTGTAGGATATGTAGATATATGCTCAAAAAGACTTTAGCTAACTTCTACTAGCAACACCATCAAACTGACGGAAATAATAGAATCCCCAGAGCCGATTAATGGCGAGAACAGGAGATCTAGCTCCTCTATTGGGAAATATATTACAGAGGAGACAGGACATGAAAATGTCGTTTACGCGTCTTTTAAACCTATCTGTAAAACGTTTTTGTGGGAGGGACAATCCTAAAGTTTGTGGAATCCCTAGATGACGACTAGGAATTTTAAACCACCTTTATGCGTTCAAAGTAACAATTCGTCATCACACTAAACCTTCCTTCCTTAGTAAACTTTGTTTTGATACCAACCAGGTTAGATGTACTATTACCTCTGTTATTTGGTTTAGTGATCTTTATTGTCTTTTTATTTGACCTTCAGTATGTCCTTTTAACTTGACCTCTTTATTAATTTCATATATATATTTATATTCCTATGACAAGTCCGTGAAGCGTGATCAGATTGTTCGAAATGTGTTGCGCAAATACTACATTACACGATTCAGACAAACTATGTCTTCATTCTTATTGCTTTGTCTAAAATTCATAAAGGGAACTAATTATTTTATAACAAAAAGGACGTAAGCAGAGAAGAAAATTTTCATTTCGAATACTCATTTTCATAAGCTGATGTACAATCATAATTATATATTCAATAAAGAATTCATAAAAACCAACCAGATACTGGTAAAATTTGTCTTCGAGAAACGTATTACTTAATGTAATGTGTAATCTACAAAGGGATGACTAACTGGAAATTAGAAAAGGGGTAGAAGTTGGTATGATGTAATAAGTGTGTGAAAATGACTTATTAGACGACAAAGTGTTATAAATGAACAGTAACAGGGTGATAATAGAATAAGGATGATGAGAATAATGATAATAGTAAACTTACATAATAAAAGGAAGCAAAATTATAGTGAGAACGTTACTCTGGCCATAGTAGGGCGAGTGAATGTATGTAGTGGCTTTGCACGCAGAGGTCCAGTTTCAGATCCAGAATAGCCCCAATGGTTCAGCTGTGTACAGATGGCGTATACGAAGTTCTTGAGTACGATATTGAGGGACTTTGTATAATACTGTGGAGCACTCATGCAAGTGGGGACCCTTGATGTCTACAGTTGACAAGGTATTCAGGGATAGAGCTACTAGTATTCTTCTTTCCTCCTGTGGTTAGCTAGCCAAGTTGGACAGTATTCCAGAATACGTTTGTGGACTTGACGTTGAGTATGGCTGATATAATTTGCTCTACACGAACAAGTAAACTGGCATCTTGTTTTCTTCCTTTCGACGCCTCATCAATGTTTATATTATTTTAAAAGTTTGACAACTTGTAACAATCTGCTCACTTCTAGGTTAATATGGATCTTCTGTTGACTCAAAAGTCCCAAACCGGACGAAACACACATCTTGTATCCCACTGCTGGTCACCATCATTCAGCAATAACTTCATATTAATCCATAGACATCATGGAAGCGTCGGCATTAGGTGCTGACATGCCATCAGAGAATGAAAATGTTGGCCCAACATATTCTATTCAACGGAAAGTACAATCCAGTCTAGTAACAAATAGTAACTAGTAACCGTGATATCAGAGATGGCTTTTATATTCCTCATGGAATAATGAATAATTCTTTGGCTTTTGAAACGATAGATACATGGTTAGAGTCTCAGTGGAATCACCACTATTCACTGGGGAATCTAGTTCCATCCGACTGACAAGCCCCAAGCGAGATGGAAGGCGTATCTTGGATAATTTCACTGCTAGTCACCAAAAAAAAATATTCATGTCAATGAATCAAACCCCATTTTTTCTTAATTATCTCTTTCCGGGAAACTTCATGCACTTTTTCCCTTTGATGAATTTGAATAAATAATAATAATAACAGCTTTATTCCAAACGGTATTTGTGGTACAGGTATGGAATTTTCAGCGTGCATTACAGTATATTGCATCTAATTACCTCATAAATTATATAAGATTTTTAAAAATCAAAGATAAATAAATAAAAATAAAATAAATAAGTTATAAATAAATAAAAATTAAAAATTAAGAAAAAAACAGCGTAGAGTATTTCATTTCAAACAATGCACCACAGGATTTGAAATATAAAGTTGATGTGTGGTAGAAGATGAGAACAACAGTGTAATAGTAACGAGGAAAGGAAAACAAAAACTAATGAGACTATTTGTTAGAGTGCCGCAGTAAGTTTATCGTGTCATACCTAACGGATTTCTCATCACATAACAGCTGTGCCAGATATGGTATTGTGGAGTTTTTGTATTTGGTAGTCCTAGCATATAGCCTCCTATAGCTGCTTCTAGTTCTACCAGATGAAATGCAAGGAGATAGATGCGTATAGAGAGGATGCTCGGGGTCCGACAATATTGTATTCGCTAGTTTCTTACATGACATAATATGTCTATCTACAATAGTGTTCACCAGTTGGTTTAACGATATCCCACTTGCCCTACTAACAGCTTTTAGTGCCCTTCTCAGCGAAGCAAAGTCTTTCTTAAGTAGTCCAGGAAAGACTAATGGGGAGCAGTAAAGGAGGATGGGTAGAATACAAGAATTTACAAATTGAGAAAGTAAAGATTGCTTTATACCAGACTGCCTAAATTTCCTAATGTAGAACGTTAAGCGAAACATCTTTCTAGTAACTAGCAAGATGTGGGAAGACCAGGAAAGATCGGTGGAAAAACTCAGCCCAAGGTACTTGACATTAGATGTATTTTCAACCTCTGTGCCGTCAATGAGAGTGGGGCCATGTGAGCTAACTAGTTGCTGTAGGTCACATTTACGTCTGAAAGTGAAATTGACTACCTGACATTTAGACGGATTAAGCTTAAGTCCGTTTGAAGAGGACCACTGACTAATTTCCGACAGAAAGCTATTTAATTTGGAACAATCTGACTGAGAGTTGACAGGCATAGAAACCGAGAGGTCATCGGCATACTTAACAAAAGTGGCTACATCAGAATGAGGCAAGTCATGTAAGAAAAACGAGAACAGAAAGGGAGAAAGAACAGCACCTTGAGGAACACCAGCTAAAGTAAGTGAGGTAGTGGAGGATTTTCCATTGTAGACGGTGTACTGCTTCCTTTCAGAAAAATAGGAATGCAACCACTTATTTGTCCAGCTTTCAGCCTGTGTTGCAGCAAGCTTACTTAGCAAGAGAGACCTGGGAACAGAGTCAAATGCAGATGTGTAATCAAGGAAGGCACAGCGAACGTATTTAGCTCCTTTATCTAAACTAGAGACTATGCTATGGTGGAGGATAACAGCGGCATCTAACGTACTCCTACTATGTTTATAAGCAAACTGGTTGGGGTCGTTGAACGACAGTGTGGTTTGTGCAGAATAATATGGTACCATCATTTATTTCGTTGGCCCCTCATCACCTGCTTACAACCTAAATAAATTATGAGATTTATGTACAGAAAAGTCTTAACATACTTGCAAATTTTACATGTTGTCAGTTTATTATTCAATGATGCCCAATAATATTGAGTTTACTATGAAACATGAAAGTGACGAAAAGTTTCACTTCCTCGACATTGCCATGCAACGCCTAGAAGATGGTAGTCTCCAGAGGTCAATTTACCGGAAGCTGACATGGAATGAACAGTACTTACACTTTAATAGTTTTTTTTTCAGATAGCTATAAACGAGCACTAGTCAATACTGTGTACTATAGAGCGAGGATAAAAAGCTCTGCAGAGAAACTAGAGGGAGAGTTTATGATACGCGAAAACGTGTTGAAAAACAACGGTTATCCTCAAAGATTCATTAACAAATATGGAAGATGTAAAGGCTTAAATATCAAATAAATCACATTTGAAAAAAGCCTGTCTTCATTCAACATTGCAGTGATGGTCAACAGAAGACTGAGTACGTCACTAGTCAGAGGCTATCCTGCAGCTAAGTTGGTTCCCGTCCATCGAAAAAACTTGCTCTTTGATGCAATCAAAAATCGACAGATATCCTTCTCATGTTACCTCTAACTGTGTATACAAATTTACATGTATCTGCGGGAGCAGTTACATTGGAAGGACAGAAAGAAGAAGGGCATATCTACAATTTTCTGAACAAGTACCAAAAAGCTTACGTCTAAAGGGAACAAATGCTTCAAACAGTGCCATCGTCAGGCATCTCCTCGACACGAGTCATGAGGTGGAAATCGAGAAGTCCTTTAAAATTATCAATAGACAAAGGAGCTCTATTCTCCTCAAGTTTGTCGAAGCAGTTTTTATCAAACGCTTGAAACCAGATTTATGTGTTCAGAAAGAAGCAGTTATTTGTCTTTCCTTGCCCTGTCTAGTAATCGGATATCTTTATTCCCTCATCTGATTATGCAATTTTTGTCTTTTACCTCACCCCTCTTTTTTATAATCTGTAACTTTGCTTGTCTCTTCTTTCTATGATATGAGTTGAACTCAGTACATCGTTACCTAATTTATTAGTCACTGTGCATCGTCGTCTTTCTTACGTAACTTCTTTACCACTGTATGCATACATTTATTTTGTTTAAACCTGAACTGCCTGTGTAAAAACTATATAAGCGCAATTTTCTGAGCACTGTTTACTAATTGTGAAACTTTCTGTCAACTGACAACATGTAAAATTTGTAAGTATGTTAAAACTTTTCTGTACGTAAGCCTACCTCATAATTTATTTAGATTGTAAGCAGCTGATGAGAAGCCAACGAAATAAACAATGATGGTACCATATTATTCTGCACAAACCACCATTGTCGTTCTTGCTTTATTCAAAAATATCTCTTTTCGTTCTATTTTGTCTCCTTGTTTTTGCCCTTGTTTATCTTTTATTCTACAACCTCTTGTAGATAAATCCACAAAAGCGAACGTCGGAAAATAATAAGTCCGATCCTATCGACGATACTGTTGACAGTCAGTACAAAGAGGGTGATTTTGTCACCACTGGAATTAAAGGACACAGAAAATTAGACTTGAATTTACTGAAGAGTGTGAGTTGTTTTTTGATCACACTTTTATAAATCGTACATAAGCATGCAGACGTGTTGTTTCGGTGATTGTTCCAGGCTAGAATGTTGACCAACCACGCATACATGTAATCCGAGTCTAATTCCAGGCTGACGCACTGTTAATACAGGAAAAGAGGGGGGAGATGAAGCGTGAGGCTAGCAACCCCCCACTGTAAAAGATAACACCACTGCTAATGAAACTTCTGAGTTAGAGCTTAAAGCCCTAAGATGATTCCACTTAGGAATGAAAGAAAAGAGAAAGAGATGTAAACATTGTTGAGATTCCGATAATTCATACTGCCCTTGGCTTTATTGATTCGCTACAATCCAAAGTATTTTTTTAAAATGTTTATCACTATGATGGGGTTAAGGTTAGGAGAAGAACAACAACAGTGAAATGTGAACTTCATTTGATATTATTTCCAAATGGACAATTCAAAGGGGGAGTATACTGTAGATCTTGGAAATTCAATCCTATAGAATAGAATATACCTTCGAAACACATATAGATACCAGAGATTAACTGGTGGATGGTGACTAGCAGTGGAATCCAGGATAGCAAGCATTTCGTCCCATTTAGGACTACCTCATCATCTGGATGTACTTGCATTTCCCAGTGAGTGAGTGAGTGATGTTCTCACCGAGGTTCAAACCCAGTGCCCATAGTTTCAAACGCCAAAGTGTTGTCCACCAGACCACTTGGGCGACGAGAGCCACCTCTTGTGCAACGGGTCATATTAATTATTTAATTCGATGTTGGATTTTCTCGTCGTTTGACTGAACTGAGGTGCTCGGTTTTTACATGCGGTTATACACACACACATCAGGAGGACTCATCGATCTTTGCGAATAGGGACTTCACAGCACACAGCCGTAAAGAGCTTCGGAAGGAGACTGAATTCCCCGAACCTGTTGATAGTGCAAAACATACGACCTAGGTCTTCCATTGAGAAATATATTATCGATACAACTTATAAGTTGGCGTTCATCCATTTTTTTTTCAAATCAATCCATAAACTATGTGTTAAGGGGTTAGTCCGACAGTCCATGGTAACCTTGACAATTAGGAGGTTTAACCACAGGCTCAATGTATTCAAAAATAATTTATTATCACATTAAATCATTTTCGGACATATTAAGATCCCCCTTCTTTGGTTAATTTATGTCCATTATTATTTTCATGAATAATTCCCATTCGAACATTAGTAGACGGAAGACAAGTAGTTCAGCGAAGAGTCTCTTTTCGGCGAATTCATTTTCATAGCTGTACAATCGCAAATATATATGGTTATTTTGGGTGTGTGTGCATACATTAAATTTGTCAAACGAAAATACAATTAGTGAGTTCAGATGAATTGGATGTTGGTAAGAGGATAGCAACAAAAGTGATGAGTTGTCAAAAACGATTGTTAAAGAGGAGTAAGTTCAGGTGAATTGGATGTTCATATAAGAGGATAGTAACAAAAGTGATGAGTTGTCATGAGTGATTGTTAAATAAGAGTTACGTAATAGCATGAATAGTTTGATGAATGAGTTGTGCTCAAAGGGTGTACACGGAAACAAAATAATATACAGAATTACACAAGGGTTTTAAGTTAGAAAAATAAGCATACAAACAGAAGTAAGGTCAAATCAAACAAACAAAGAAAAGTTAGGTCAAATCAACGGAGTTTTTACCATGCGAGTAGAAGTGGTTGGATAATTTTCTTTTGCATGCATAGTTCTGGTTCCACCAACTGGATGGCTAGGGCTTCTGCGACGCAAAGAAGACGGAATCGTACTGTTTTTGGAAGGTTGTTCTTCACTTTGTAGATTACTTTGAAGGAGGCGTTCGGTGAGATGGAATGACCAGTGTTGACGAGATGTTCGATTATTGCACTCCTTGTATGGCCATTATTTCCTTCCTTATTTTGACTTTCAGCATAGCCTTTTAACTCAATGCGTGCCTATTTACCCACCCTTTAACAATTTATTATTTTCATTTTAGTTCCTATGACGAATATGTATATAATCAGATCATTCAAAGTGGAATGCACAAATACACATCACACGATTGGAATAACTCATGTCTTCTCATGTCTTTTCTTCGAAATCTATAAAGGAAACTAATTGTGTTAAATATTATTATAATTTATATTCTTTCTCTCTATTTCAGCAAAGAGCGACTGTCGAAAGAATACGTCCTACTTCAGGCTCAGGTTAGTCAACAATACATATAGAGTTGTGCTGAAGTTTATATACTTTTGATGACTGTGAGTAAATTCACCTCATATCACTGTGCATCGCTTCAAGTTACCACTTTGTATGTGATATGTACCCACATGATGTGTGTTTTGTTTTTGACAGTCTGTTATATTTTGTTATGTGCATATGGATCGATATTTCTTTATAACTGACATTATACTTTTGTCTGTCCACTAACTAACTAAACAATGTATGACCTTGTTATCACATGACATTACAACCAATCATGGTAAGACGTTATTTTACTGGTTCATGTGTGTTAGCCATTTTCATATATACTCTTGCTTTATCATTCTTGTTCACACGTTTCGTACACTAAGTACCATTTCACTCACACACTTGTGTGACATTTATTTTCCTTGTCTGGAAAATACAAGTATCATCGTAAACCTGGTGGTCTTCTGATTTCCCTCTTTCCGTGGCGTCAGGACTATTAACTACTCGAGGAGTACATAACATAATTGGCAACGGGGAAAACTCTAATAACTCAATCAGCAGCAGTACATAACAGTATGGAATTCTGATAAGAAAACTTGAACACCTCAATTCATCAGGTTAAGGTTTGAACACACTGGACGATGTTGGCTATAAATTTCCTCAAGCTGACGAAAATTAAAACTTCAATGGCAATAAACTTCTCTTCAGATGAATTCTAGCGTGCTAGCGTTGTAGTCAATAGGGACACTATCCTATCTAATGGTAATGTGGTGTTCATACACTTCTGAAGAGAACTTGACTTAGATGAATTGGATGTTCAGTGTTTCATAGTTTGGAATAGTTCTTCTGACTGACGTCAGTTCATGACAAAATCCACTTTGGAAAAGGAAATAATGATTTTTAGAAATGATATTTCTATGATAATAATTCTAATCGTATTGCTTTATTGGTATTCTTTGAGGTTGTTTGTTGCCGGGGCTGGTAGAAATTTTTGGGCCGGTGAATGAAAAGCTGTCGAGATATAACCTCCGCGACGCATTCGATTTCGTTGGTTCAATTAAAAATGTCAACATCACAGATAAAATAAATGGTCTCCCTAGACGTCGTCTCTCTCTCTCTCTTCAGCAATATTGTTCCACTGACAGAAACTAAATGTTTTCTGTGTGACTTCATCCAGTTCAACAGCACAGATGTCGCCATACCGATCAATTATCTAAAGGAGCTGTTACTACGTTGTACCTTCAAAGTCTACTTCAGATTTAACGATGAAATCTACAGGTAAACAGATGGTGTAGCAATGAGCTCTCCACTGGGACGTCTCTTGGTCGATTGTTTTATGGCCAGCCTCGAAAACAACTTCTTATCATCGACCATCACTGATCTCCATCTTTACAAGAGATACATTGATGATACTTTCATCTTTTGTGATGAGAGTCTGCACCTTGAAAACTTATTTCAAAGCTTCAAAAATGCTCCCCGAAACATCGACTTTACTCTTGAAGCTGAATCCGTCTGAATGTTCCACTTTTTCGACGTTCGTCTGACAAGAAACGCCTACAACTCTGTGTAAAGGTTCGTATACAAAAAGCCTACATGGAACAAACAATTTATCAATTTTCAAGGCTTCGTGCTCCTAAGCAGAAAGACGAACCTTATATACGCTCTTTCTTCGAGGATTCGGAAGATATGCAGCGTGGAAGTAATAGGTTCATAGACAAGAATCTAAAATCAAAGAAGACTGCCGAACAAGTCCAATCCGTCCTGAAGAAGATGCTTGTGCTTAATCTAGAAATCAAAGGTCACATTGAAGCAGAAACCACTCGTAAATGCCTCTGTAAATCTCTGATGAAAAAATAATTCGCCGCAAACCTACGACTAACTTTTTCCTGCAAGAAACACTTCAGCCAGAACTCGAAAGACAAACTGTCGCATTGGGCCACTTCAACGTGCATATACCAGTTTACTTGCTCCTGAGGAGCTGAGTATATTGGCCGTACCATGTGCCAACTTGGAAAACGCACTCGTGAACGCTATCCAGACTGGCTAGTAAAAAGAGAACGAAAACGGGTATATAGTTCAGTGACAGAACATCTGTTCAATTCAGGACATTCAGCGCCATTCGAAAGATCCTTCAAAACAGTATACAAGACTCGATCAAACTTATCAAAGGGAGTATAACTAAGACATCTGGGCATAGCCAAGGCACTAGCTATCCAAAAGCTCAAACCCACGCTATGTATCCAAAAGAAATACGTTCAACCCTTGTCTCTGCCATAGCCATCATAAACAGGTAATTCTTTTGGTAATGACCATCCCATTGCCTTTCTTATCCAAACTTCCAGCTTATTCATGTTATTTTTAAGTTTTTTTAAATTCCTATTGACACTACCATATTTTCATATTTGAACTTCCTGTATATTTAGTCCTTTTATGATTTCTAAATATTTAATCTCTGATTGCATAAATAATTACTTGTCACATTAGTTTTGATCCCACTAGATTTTTTATCTAAACATCCTGTCTATTTTTGTTATTTTTAAATTTCTAACCCCCAATTGTACAATATGTCAACCTTCTCATTAGTTCTGATGTTACTTTGTTTGAGTTTTATCCGTCCCCCGTTTATTATGGCATTTTAATTCCTGATTGTAATTTTATTAGTCTGACCTTTGACCGGAGATTATTCTGGAACTTTCCTACCCATTTACTATAAATATACGAATGTAAAGCCTTGTTGATGACTTCATCGTAAAGACAGGTTTCTTCTCCGCAACTATCTTCGTATTGTTAGTGATTATTTTTGAGTTTGATAGTTGACCTTTATCCAAAGTTACTTTTTTTATTGATTGCATATTCGTCTGTAAACCAGCCTTCTTCTAGGTACTGCCCAACATTTTTGTGGTTCCACAGTCTAAGAATTGTACATTTCCCTAATAGGACTGGTGTCCATAGCTGCATACATGCATACACTAATGTAGGAGGATGAATATCTTGTTCATAGATGCGACAGTCAGAGATGTGACTAATATAAGTGCTAAAGATGGGAAGAGAAAAAGGTCTATTCGACAAATGAATTAATAAGCCATCTGACCATATAACATTGGCTAACTTGGCTCAGCCAAAGCAAAGAAAGCAACGCATTACCGCTTAACCTAATCAGTCGATTAAGTTTCATTTTATGCCCATCAACATATATACGCTTGTAATTTCAACTGAGGAATAATATTAAATAGTTTTCTTTTTTGTTTTAGGAAAACCTCCAGGTTGTTTAAATACAACAAAAATGTGTTGTCAACTGGGAACTCGTGAACCATCTGATCCATGGTTTTCACTAGACCATCTAATAATGAGAGATACTGGAAGTAAGCCGAAGTTATCCACATTGTAAGTGACTCTTTTCAAAACCCATAAAATCACATTCTAAATTATTTTTTTTTATATTTACGAGTTGATCATGGGTTGATATCAGTTAGAGAACCATTGAGGAGAACCATTGGGAATTATTGGCAGTACTCATCCACTGATATCAACCCGTGATCAACTAGTAACAAAAAAAAATACTGACCGTTACAAACCAACTATAGAGAACTAATCTGATGCTCGCTAGTGACTTGCTACAGGATGGATTTTCCTGGAGTTTTAATGGAAAGTGGTGATCAGTGAGATCCATCCAGATGTCACGTGTGAGGATCGATGTCCCACTGATGACATTGGTTGGTGGTCCCGCTAAATCACACGGATTGGTAGAAATAAGAATTTGTGGGCTGGCCATTGAAGAGTCGGGTTGCAGTGGCTGAATGGTATACGGGCCAACTTGCCTTGTAACCCGGAGGTCCTGGGTTATAACTCTGGCGGTGGGTGCATACTGCAGATGATTCCCAAACTAGAATGGAACAGCTGTCCAGTACTGCAGTACTGGTTTTCAATGCTTCTCTAACTGATATCGATCCGTGGTCAACTCGTAAAAACAAAACTAACCCTTACAAACCAACTATAGAGAATTATTATTATTTTTTTAATTTCCTTGGGTTCTTAGTACGACATACAGCTCACCTCCATGTGACTCTGTTTTCTGTGTTTTCTATTAGCTGGTTCCACGATTACCCATAAGTCAACATTTCTTTCTCAGATGATCTTTTCCTATATCTAACTCTACTAGTCGATTCCTATTTGCGTTCCACTGGAGTGCATGTCTGGTACATGAAGTATTTTCAGCGTATATGCAGTCCATCTCCCTTTGTGGTGAGAGCAGGCCGTGAGAAAATATGAGCAAGGCTGATTCAACAACCAATCACAACAAAGTTAACGTGGCAAAATGTGATTCGCAGATAGAGAACTCTATTTGTCGAGGAATCCCGAAACAACCAATCAGAAGCCTGCGTTTGTCTGCCTAACTTCTGATAAACAACCAATCAGAGGACTGCGCTTGTCTACTTGCATAAGCTATAATAATGTATGTGAAATATGTATAAATACGTGTTGATTTTCATAATAAAACGATCTGTTCCCTGGCCCTTGTCTTCTGTTGTTACACCTTTTCTTCTACATATTCATTTGGCGATCGGTTGTCAGTTTTTTTTTGTTCCCAGAGTTATTTCTTTGTACTTTATCCATTCTGTCTGGTCATCTGACCTTCAATATCGAGGGAAGATAGACAACTCTTGATGAAAGTCCTCACTAGCCTGTTTGAAGTGACTCGCCAATTCTCTGAAAACTATAAAAGAACTGACTACACATTATTGTTGAAAATCTGATTTTTGTTCTTCATGCTAAGTAATGAAGGTCTGGCCTTCTTTCCCAATTGGGCTTTTGAAATCTTCATTTTTGCCATCTCTATTTGAAACGATACTGTCTAGACCGGTTTAAGAGATGAGTTTCCTTGAGATGGTCTCTCTCTCTCTCTGTCATTGATGGTGATTATTGTTAGTTAGGTGTATTTATCACTTGAAGTATTGTCTTCGCTGTCACTTCTGCCAACGGGCTGGCTTTCCCTTGTAGACGCTCGAGTTTTTCTAACCTAAATCATTTGTGAACTTCACAGCTTCTAAAGTTATTTTCCGGTTCAAGGTGTGCCCGTCTTTTTGATCCCCATGGTCTTTTACAGGGTGATTGACAACTGAATCCTTTTCCAACTACCTCCTGCAAGAAAAACGATATAACATCAAAGTTGGAGATGATATTGATGCAATTATCTAAAAGATCACGTATATATGAACAAAGTCATGTCAGTAATGTACTGTCTGTCTGTCTGTTTGTTTTTGACATAGAACTTTGCACATATGTGAAGCAGTTCAAGTCGCCACACTTCCTCCCTCCATGTAACACACAAAGCAAGAGAAGAAAGTAGAAGAAATGTATAACAGAAAGACAGTAAACAGAGGTGTGAAACAATGGAATAGTAGTAACGAAGAACAAAACAGTTTCATTGGAAATCATTAATCACAAGGAGTGGATGCATCTGCTCCATTCCTTGTGACTTATGTGCAGCTATACGCATATCTCCAAATCACAAATGCGAATTAATATTTATACTATTTTTTCCCTTTACTTTCCCAGTGGAACATACGGTTTCAAGCCAGAGGCTTGAAGTTTTCGGTGGCAGTGGTGTTTATTTTTACGCTATGAAGTTGCTAGCCAGCCTCACGCCCAACCTTCCTTCTTTACCAGTCGTATTACTAGCTTAGTGAGGTGAAGGAATGCGTTGGCTGGGGATCGAACCCTGAACCACATCAAGCGTGGTTAGCGAGCATTCTATCACTGTGCCACCAACGCACAATATTTGTTTTGGTTGAAACTACTTTCAAACAACTTGGAACCGAAAAACTGATTGTTATAACATGGATGATGATTAGTGGTGGGATGAAAATTTGTATCGTGAAGGAATTCGGGCTGCTTGCTTCTGAATAATTAATTAACCTGGCTGTCTCTATTGCATAAATCACAAGCCAAAGATGCATGGTTGTGCCTTTTCACCATCTCACATTAGATGATCAGTTTGATTCTTTCATACTGTCGTTAGTTATAATCTCCTATTAAGCATTAAAATTCAATACCCTCCTTTTAATTTAAAGCTCATTATGAGACTTAATAGGTTCCTCGAGATTCTGGGAAACAGTTAGTTATTGACGATATAACGCTGACGATGCTGAAAACCACTCCGGACGGTTTAGATGTGCCACTTACCACCTTTGAAATTTTGAATGTTCTTGCCAGTTTCGCTTAAATTATTCGCTTTGTCACAGCATACCTGCAGGTTTTTTTTTCGCTATGCCTGCTAATATGTACAAAATCTTGACATGGTTCTAAATTCATTTAGTTGTCTATTTATAAGATTACAATTACAGAAATAAAAAAAGAGAAATATCAATGATGTAATAAGATTTCGTTTGATGTTTTAATGTTTAGTCAGATTCGATTTACTTAGTCTTAAGCAACCCACTAATATTTTGTATATGTGGGCTTCTTCAGGTTTAAAAATAGCCTAGGCAGCACCGTTAACTAACGCTGTATTAAGTCACAGCTCTAGTAACAATATTGTTTGCGACATCCACCCCTGAAAAAAAAACACTTCTCAGTTTCCATTTTGACACAAATGAATATTAGAAAGAATAGAACACGAAGTTCAGCAAAGATATCTACATCTTCGGCGATGTCATTTTCAAAAGCAGCTGTGCAGTCGCATTGGGCGTCGGTGGCACAGTGGTTAGGACTCTCGCCGACCATGCATATGGTCCGGGGTTCGATTCCCTGCCAAAGCGCACTCGATATCTATGGTCGGCCTGCAAAATTTGGGCTACCGATATCACATGCTGAAAATTCCGTACTTGTACCGAAAATACGGTGTGGCATCAAGCTGTAATCAAAATAAAAAAATACATAAAAATTCAAATACATAAATTTACATAGATACAATTCCTATTTGATCCCACATAATTACGAAGGCGAATAAAAGGTGAGATGCACGTTGCTGAGATGAACGCTGAATGTGCATACAATTTACCTACAGACATAAAGACGGAATTGCAATGAGATCTCCTCTTGACTCGCTTTTAGCAGACTGCCTTATGGCCAGTTTTGAGAGTGGAGTTTTAAAATCAACAATAAACAAATTACTACTGTACAAAAAGGTACATTGATGATACCTTTATAGTCTGCTACGATAACTCGGACTTCAAACTGTATCTTACAAGAATGTAATAATTCTCACCCTTCGATTAAATTCACAATGGAATTAGAAAACGATTCAAGAATTTAATTTCTGGATGTGGAATTAACAAGAAGAGATAATGGAACGCTGAAGAGATCCATCCACAAAAAATCAACATGGAATGGCCAACTAACGTATTTCTTTAGTTGGATACCTTTGAGCCGAAAACGAGCTCTCATCGCCGCACTAACCCATCGCATTAGAAAAATCTGCAGCAGTGATTGCGTGAAAGAGGAGCTCCTATTCTTCAAAAATATCCTGGCTCAAAATGGTTACCCTACATGTCTTGTCATAGAGAACATGAAACCTAAACAAAAAAGAGGAGAATGTAATTCAGCGCCGAAGAGTCTGAATTTCAGAGGAGATTTGACAGCCAATATCCTAAAGAGGAGAATATTCAGCTTTTTAAAGAAGACCTTCTCAGCAGCAACACTAAGAGTGATATTCTCTAGCCGTCCAATACTTCGAAACAACACGAAGGACAAACTCTCGCATATAACCGATTCAGTGTACATATAGCAGTTCAACTGGTGGTTCGGAGCTAGATACATGGGTCATTGTATGCGTGTTCTTTCAAAACGTGCTAGAGAACATTAACCAGAATGGCTGCAAAGAGGAGGCACCGGTTCAATCATAAGTGCCATTTCTGAACGTCTGATCAACACCTCAACTGATTCATTCAAAGTGATTTACAAAGTCAACAGAAACCTTCTAAAAGCAGTATGTTTCCAACTTCTCTGTATTGCAGAAGCTCTCACAATACGCATCGAGAAGCCGGAGCTGTGTGTTTAAAGGAAATTAGTTAAACCTATACAACTACCATGGACCTAGTTCGGTATGTTCCCTTAGCTGCCGTCCTTTTTTTCTTTCGTTCTTTTTTGATCACTTTTTCGAACTCTTTCTGTCTTCATTCAATTCGCCCAATTTTTTCAGTTATACGAACAGTTGTTTCAAGTTTGTTTCCATGCTTTTCCTGCTCACATTTATAATACGTTTAAAATAACTTTTTTACAATTAAAACCTAATCCTGTGTAATATTTGTTTCTAAGCCTCTCGTAAACCATATCTGGTTGAAAATAATTGTCACCATTTATTCGCCTTCGTAATTATGTGGAATCAAGTACAAATTGTAAGTGTAAAATTATGTATTTAAATGCGATTGTACATCTGCTTTTGAAAATGCAATCGCCGAAGAGGAAGGTATCTTTGTTGAACTTCATGCTCTCTTCTTTCTAATATCCATATGGGTGCTTTCCATAAATGGATACCACGTAGAAAAAATCATTGAAAGTCACGGACCAGCCTTACTTAATTAGACCTCTTCAGCTGTGTGGATCCATTATTCGAACATTCTACTGTAACGACAGAAGACAAGAGTCAGGCAACAAATCGTTTATTGAGAAAATCAACCGATATTTATATATTTTTATGTACATTATTATTCGCTACTATTAGAAGGAAAACAGCGTCTGCTGATTTGTCGCTTTCTCATTGGTGAAGATTATTCTGTCATTTCTTTGTGGCCGTTTCTTTGAAGGTCAGACCAGATATCTGCGAATCGTATCCGCCCACGCTAAGTCTGTTGTGATTGGTTGTTGAGTTAGTCTATGTTCTTGTTTTTTTCTCATGACGCCGATTAGGGGCGTAAATATTGACGTAAATTGCTGTCTACCAGTTTTAGCTAACAGGCAGCTCTAACCAGACTACCACTGGACCACCTCTGTGATACTCAACAAACAGCAAAACTATCTGAGAATAATCACTTAATGACGTACACGCGAATGCTTTGAATGAGGAAGACAGAGTGCTGAGGTGGTCAGAATTTAGAGATTAAGCGTAATATATAAGGCCAACTTACTTAGTAACTAATAGGTCCAACTAAAATAAAAAAAACAGCAAGTTTTGCTCTTATCGTCTAAATTTTCTTTTAGTTTATCCATATATTTTTCTTGTGTTTTTGATTACAGTTTGAAGAGAAAGAAATTTAACAGCTGCAGTTTAGAGAACATAAACAGTACTGAAGTAGTAAGCAACCTCTTTTTCATTTTGTACGCTTTGGATATTGACGAACATTAATCCTTCTTCTTAATATAACTTTGGCACTGTGGTAGTAAGTAATTCAATATTAGTTTGTTTATTAAATACACCACACAGTGAGTGAAACATTATTACTATTTACTGGATGACAAAGTTTCGAAAACAATTCATTATTGTTCATAATCGTATCGTCAATTATAATCTCACGACTTCGAAACTTGAGTTCCATAGTTTTCTTTGTCCTCTCCTATTTGTCGCCACTGGGGTAGTAGAATTTTCCAGATATCTGGGTGGACACGTGTTGAATCATTCCTATTACACATATTCACTCTCAATTGATTCGATAAGGAAAGCTTCTGTTATCAATCTCTCTTTCCACTCTGTGACATTAGATTTTAAAACTGTCATCCTATCCAATCCCATCCTATTGTATAGTTGTGTGTAACTGCATGTATTGTGTGCTATAGCTGAACTACTCTCTAGATTTCTTATTTTATTCGGGTCAAATAATCTAGATTTCACTAGGATTTTATGTTTGGCTAGTCTGACTGCATCTGTTCTACTACTTTGACCTAGGTATTCGACCTGACAGTCATTCCGGTAAGTTATTAGATAAACTAAATTGTTTCGTTTTAAAGGCTCCACAGGATCCCCCATTCAAAGCTTGTTTCTGATTGAGTTTGTGGGTTTGAATACTGGCCACTTCTGTCCCTGCCTTGTTAAGAATTCTACGTAAGGTTTCCGAGGTTCCTTTCTTGTATGGAATTACTACCGATGATTTAAATTCCTGATGGTTGGTGTTGTCTTGCGCATATTCGACATGCATTTCGTCATTAATATTATCACTATCACTACTATCATTATTTATTTTATTTTTACATTTCCGTACATACTTTCTGACTAACCAAGTTAATTATTAAGTTTTAAAGCTTCTCTTATATGCCTCACTTCGTGTCCTAGATTTTCCTTGATACTACTTAGATTTTGTGCTCTGTCCTATTTTTACTGATATAGGATGGGATGATCGGAAGTTCAAATATCTGTGTGAATGTCTGGGTTTCCTGTAAACACATCTTCCCATCCTCTTTCCTTTTAACGCTGAAATCTAACATTGAAAGCTCCCCTTCCTGATTTTCCAATTCATCATAAGTGAATTGAATTGCCTCCACCTTTGAGTTAATGTGTTTGAAAAATCTATCTATATCTTGTGTTCTAAGTACAGTGAATGGGTCATCTACATACCTCCACCTTACTTTGGGGGTGGGGTGGGGTGGGGTTGAACGTTTCAATCGCTATGTTTTCCCAACTATCCATGAAATGAGTCCGTTTCTGACTGTCTCTATAGCCATATTTATTGGTATACGTGTATACAAACTGACAATGTCAAAACTGACCATTTTCTCTTTAATATCTAAATTTAAACTATCTAATCTGTGTTTTAGTTCATAAGAATTATTTAGTCTAGATTTCGAGTGGCTTTTTAGTAGATTTAACACCATAGCTAAATATTTAGATAATTCTTAAGTAGGTGAATTTCTAAAATCAACTATAGGTCTAATAGGGTATCCTAACTTATCAACTTTAACAACACAATACATCCTACTGGAATTATTAGTTTTTTGGCATTAAATTAAACCACTTAGACATATATGAAATTAAAAAGAAAACGAATCGTTAGAAAAATCTATTACTGCCATCTCTTATCTCAACATTCTGTCTTCTCATGAATAATCGTGATTGACTTTTATTTGAAATTTCTTTCTGGTGGATATACGGTTCATTGGCTTATTACTATTATTATATCATCTAGCTGCATTCAGTTCGCTGTATTCCTTCCTAACTGCCTCTACGACTGACCATAAGCTTTCATCTCCTGCTCACACAGTCTATTTCACGTCGTATTTGTAGTCCCACTCAAAGCCCAGCTTCTCAATCGGATTGTATTCTAGGGATTGGAGCATGATGTCACCCTACAGTGCCTGCAGCATACATCAGATCTATCTCCACCCCACCCCCTGTATATATATATATATATATATATATATATATATATATATCTGTTGGACGATAAGTCCCCAGCTGGTTCGCTGCACTGCTAGAGTTCTTCATTACTAATCCTTTTAGATGAGCCATATGATTTTCAGAACAGCGTCAAGGAAAGTAAGTGTTGGTTAAAATCCTCAGTAGCCTGTTGGAAATAATTTTCTTGAGACACCAAAGCTGTGAACCGTAGAGAGGTGTACTGACGTGACTAGCACTAGTATTTAAAATCCGGATCTTTTTCTTGATGTACAGAGAAGTAGAAATCAACACTGGCTTCAGAGTCTTTTTTTTCCTTGACGTTACCAGTGGAACATAATCCTCCAATCTACAGCGCTTTGAAGTTTCAATGACAATGGCCTTTATTTTTATGGGATAGGGTTGCTAGCCTCATGCCCAACCTTCCCTCTTTACCAGTATTATCACTGGCTTATAGAGGTAAAGGAGTGTGTCCGTGGCCGGGGATCCAGCCTCGAACCAAACGAGGCGTGGTTGGCGAACATTCTACCGCTAAGCCACCGACGCACTTTTTTCAGAGTAATCAAAGTCTGTCTGGCTTTTCCGATCCTGCCTTTGTCATTCTCAATTTCTTAAGAATTTGCTTTTCAAATAGTGGGCAGTGGGCTTGAGTCTCACTGTGGTGAGCGCTGTCTGCAAGCCGAAAATTGTAGACAACAGTTTACGTCAGTTTTCACGACCCGAATCACGAGCATGAGAAAACACAATAACAAAGTTTAACCTGGAGAAAATCACCAGCCAATCACAACGGAGTTGAAGTTTGGAAATATGATTCACAGATATATGACTCGATTTTCTGAGAAACAAAGAGATAACAGAATAACCTTCAGCAAGAAAACAACCAATTAGAAGAGGTTGCTTCTCCACTAACAATAACGCTAATAACAAACCACATAAAAATCCATAAATACCTCTCGATTCTCTGAATAAACGATCTGTTGCCTGGCCCTTGTCATCTGTCTCTGTCTGTCTGGATTCAACATAGAAATTGGCACCGAAGTGCACCAGTTCGAGTTGCCACGTTCCAAATAGCACACAGAGGTAGACAAGAAGATGAGTGAAGAGAATCAATAGAGTCTGACTACTATAAGCGTGGAACAGAATGGGTAATGGTAGAAAGGAATATGAAAGATTACAGAGACTGAATACATCTGCGCTGGCCATTGACAACGATTTTGAGCCATGTCACCTATTGTCTCCAGCCATTGATTCCTAGAGTCCCGAGGGCCCCAACCCACTTTTATTCCTGCCTTGTTAAGAATTCAGAGTAAGGTTTCCGAGGTTCCTTCCTTGTATGAAATTACTGCTGATAACTTAGATTCCTTACTGTTGGTGTTGTCATTATCTTGCGTATGCTTGACATGCCTATCGTCAATAATATCATCATTATTATTATTACTATCACTATTTATTTTATTTTTAAATTTCCTTACATACTTTCTGACTAACCAAGCTAATTATTAAGTTTTAAAGCTTCTCATATATGCCTCACTTCGTGTCCTAGATTTTCCTTGGTACCACTTAGTTTTTGTGCTCTGTCCTATTTTTACTGACAGGATGGGATGATCGGAAATTCAAATATCTGTGTGAATGTCTGGGTTTCCTGTAAACACATCTTCCCATCTTCTTTCCTTTTAACGCCGAAATCTAACATTGAAAGCTCCCCTTCCAATTCATCATAAGTGAATTGAATTGCCTCCACCTTTGAGTTAATGTGTTTGAAAAATCTATCTATATCTTGTGTTCTAAGTACAGTGAATGGGTCATCTACATACCTCCACCTTACTTTGGGGGTGGGGTGGGGTGGGGTTGAACGTTTCAATCGCTATGTTTTCCCAACTATCCATGAAATGAGTCCGTTTCTGACTGTCTCTATAGCCATATTTATTGGTATACGTGTATACAAACTGACAATGTCAAAACTGACCATTTTCTCTTTAATATCTAAATTTAAACTATCTAATCTGTGTTTTAGTTCATAAGAATTAGTTAGTCTAGATTTCGAGTGGCTTTTTAGGGGATTTAATTTCATGGCTTAATATTTAGATAATTCATAAGTTGGGTGAATTTCTAAAGTCAACTGATCGAATCGAATCAACTGCAATTACATGTAATAGGAATGATTCAACACATGTCTACCCAGATATCTGGAAAATTCTACTACCCCAGTGGCGACAAATAGGAGAGGACAAAGAAAACTATGAAACTCAAGTTTCGAAATCGTGTGTGATTATAATTGACGATACGATTATGAACAATAATAAATTGTGTTCAAAACGTCATCCAGTAAATAATAATACTGTTTCACATTGACTGTGTGATACATGTAATAAACAAGCTAATATGGAACTAATCTTTCTTCATTAAATCTGTCACATGAAAGCTGGTCATGTAAAGTATGAGATTTATATTTGTGTTAGGCTGTGAGTAAAAATACCATCTTCTGACGATTTAAGGACTTTGCACTTGGCGAAAATCATTTCTAACAGGTTGTCACAGACTTTCATTAACGACTGCTAACTTTGCTCCCTATTGAGGATCAGATGGCCGTCTACAACGAATTAGTAGAAACCTAATTCCTAACAAATCTGCAGATGGAAATAGAGATGAATCGATGATGGATGAAATTTATTTTGATAAAGTTACACAGTGTGTCATACAGTAATATTTACTGATGACCACGTTTCGAGCACAAATTATTACTGCTCATAATCATTTCAAGGTACTCACACAGTGAAGCAAGATGGGGTAGCTTCTCTTTTACAGAGATGGAGAACAACTTGTGGATGGTGAACGTCATTTGTAATTTTGCCGCAAAGAACGTCTTAATGACTGCTTTAGAGAGACGGTTGTTTTGAACATATCTGAAGCTTGATCACCTTTGAATTCCAAGTTCATCAATAAGGTTTTCTTTGGAACTGAGTCAATGACCCGTTTAGACTGTTTATCTTTCATGTTACTGTCAATAAATCGGTTTGGGAAACCATTTTCTGCCAGCCTGGCCTTTAGGAAGTCAATTTCTAAGTCAACGCAATCAGAACTACAAATGTTTTCTATCCTTAAGCACGCCGAATGAATTATAAACAATAGTAAACATGAACGACAGACTCAATATACATATAGATTTTTAAAAAATTGAACATTCAATCTATTCTTTATATTCGAACATGTTCATTTTGTTGAATTATCAAATTAATAAATAATAAGACATTTTTTTTCATTCCTTGTTTATTTTCATTGAACAAAGTTTCCTCTAAAATGTGAAACCATTTCTCACAACAGTTTACCAAATTTGAAATATCAGACAAGTGGTGATTTGGTAGTAATTCAAAATTATTCAAGTTTACTAGATGAAGTATGTTTGTATACTTTATTTAATTAATCAATTTTTGTTTGTTTATGTGAATCAAAATGACTATTGATAACTGAAAATCACTGTCTGCGCTACATTGATATCAGTTAGAAAAGACAATGAATACTGTACAGATGTTTCCATGATTAGTTTTAAACTTCTTATCAACTGTTTTAACTCGACTTCTTTTGAGTATTAATCCACGAATATCATTGTCACTCACTATTTATGGTGAAATCTAATACTACAGAATGGACATTGGTTTCTTAAGAGCTGATTAATTTGATGATATTATATAGTTGGATGCCATAGGCCTCAGGAAGCCTTGCTCGACCTAGGGGTTTCGTGCTAGTTGGCACTCACTAGTTAGCAAGGCATATCTGCGACCTTGAAGGAACAACTCATGTTCCTCCTGAGATTCAAACCCGCGTCATCCAGTGCCACCTGCAGTCAGAGATGCTACCACTGAGCTATTCGGGCTGGCGATTGACCTCTTCTAGGACTGTAGTGGGTATTTTGAATGGACACTGGTAACTAGTATGACGTGTCTAGTCTTTTCTTTGGGGCCGACTGAATTCTATCAGTCAGGTTTTGCACTGTAGCCACCATTCTAGTGGTAACGTCTCTGACTGAAGATGGCACTGGGTGACGCGGGTTTGAATCTCAGAAGAGACATGAGTTCCTTCAAGGCTGCAGATACGCCATGCTGACTGATGAATGACAACTAGCACGAAACCTAGGTCAGGTAAGTCTTTCTGAGGACGATTGCCTCCAACTAACTACCTAATATCATCAAATCAATGTGCACCGTGATGGTGAGCTACCTAGAATGGTGGCCCCATTACAAAGCCTTACTGATAGAATTTAGTCTGCACCAAAGAAAGGACTAGACACGTCACACTAGTTTCAAGTTTCCAATCAAAAGCTGATTAACTTATCTGAAAGTGTGTAGCGTTTGATGAACCAAGGATCATCCTGTCTGTCGATACAATTCAATAATGATACAGCCTTAGTGTAATGCAAACGGAATTAAAATCGTTCACGAGGAGGTAAATGTTGCATAAACTGACTGTGCATGGTTTTTAATAAAAACATACTCAGAATATAAATTATGCGAAGATAGAAATACTCAAAGTTTTATTACATAGGAACTACGGAAGTCATCAATGAACTTGAAAAAAGGAAGAACAACAGCAGCTCTTGCAGAACAAAATGGTACCATCATCGCTAATTCCGTTAGCTTCTCATCAACTGCTTACAGGCCACAGTCATTACTAAGTATTATATCTACAGAAACAATTTTAATTTTAATGAAAATGATGAAATCCTGAAACCAATCAAATCCCTACAAACCAACATTTGAAAACCAATGAGATGCTCACTGGAGACTGGCCCTATTCAGGTAGGTAGTTACCTGGGTTCCAGTGGGACGTCGTGACCAGTAGGGTGCAGCAGGTCGGGTGTGAGGACAAATACTCACCGAAGACATTGGCTAACGGTCGCGCTATATCGTGAATTGGCAGAAGTTAGAATTCAAGGACCATTGGATCGGGTCCCAGTGGCTTGATGGTATACGAGCTCACCTTGTAACTGGAAGGTCCTGGGTTCGAACCCTGGTGGATGAGTGCTGCTGAAGAGTCACAAACTAGGACGTGGGAAACAGCTGTCCAGTACTCGTAGGTTTTCCAATGGTTCTCTAACTAATGTCAGCTCATGATGAAATCCTGAAACCAATCAAATCCCTACAAACCAACATTTGAAAACCATCAATTTCCATTCTTGTGCGCCGGTAGCACAGTGGTTAGGACTCCCGCCAACCATGCACATGTTCCGGGGTTCGAGCACACGCCGACGCACACCTTGATATCTATGGTTGGCCTGCAAAATTCGGGCTACCGATATCCATGCTGAAAATTCCATACTTGTACCAAAAATACAGTGTGGAATCAAGCTATAATCAAAAATAAAAATAAAATAAACATATTTCCACAGAGTTCATTCTAAACAAAAATCAGTCAGTATGTACTTACAGTAATAATATATAATATTAAATACTATTCCGAACGATAATAATCATACACAATGAGAACTTTCGACATTACGTAATCAGATGAAAGAAAGGTGAAAATATCCACTTACCAGACAGGGCAAAGAAACACTGATAACCGCTTCTTTCTGAAGGCACAAATTATGTTTCGGGTGCTTGAAGGAGATGGCTTCAGCAAAATTGAGCAGAATTGAACTCTTTTACCTTTTGATAATTTTGAATGATCTTGAAACGTTCACCTCATGATTCGTATCAAGAAGATGCCTGGCAATTGCACTATTTAAAGCATTCGTTCCCTTTAGAAATTAGTTTTTTTTTGTAGATGTTCAGAAAATCGCAGGTATGCCCTTCTTCTTTCTGTCCTTCCAATGTAACTGCTCGCTTAGATACATGTAAATTTGTATATACAGTTGGAATCTCCGGTATCAATAGAATAAACTACTTTAACATTACAGTCTTCTGTGATAGATAGATAGATAGAGAGATGGCTGGCCGAATGTCATCAGGAATAAAAACACTCCATTATGTTTTTGTAATTAACTAATGTCAAGGAAAATAGCATTTTTTGGTTATCTATTTCGTCCTACACGAGAACTTTCAGCAGACCACAAATCACTCGCTAAATATTCAGTTCTCTTTTAATAATTAAGGACGGTCTAACCATGGTCTAACTACTAAGCTCTGTACTTGCAGACTCCTCCACGCTGAAACATTCAAATACATATCTAAAGAAAATGACCATTGGTTATATCTATTATGGAGGATATCAGTATGATACTTTTATAAATAATAACGAGGGCTTGGAAGATTTCATGAATACTTCCAGTAGCCGTAATCCTACAGTCCACTTCGTAGTATACAATGGCTCTTTTCTAGATGTTCAGTTAACAGGCCATTATAATGGAGCATTAAAAGAAATCCATTCAGAAAAAGTTTACACAGAACAGATGACTAACAAACTTCTACAGTTGAGCGCCTCTTTAATAAAAAATAGAGCCTGATCCGTTGAACCAGTTACAAAGTGTTCAACATTTTGAACTCATAGCACTACGGAGGATGAGGTGAATGCCAGAAAAAGTTTCTAGTTGAAAATGGCTGTCGTGAGAGCTTCATCATGAGGTCCTTGGAGTGAATGCCACCAATGCCACTACAGACATCTGTCACAAAATAGACTGAATTTGCAAATTAATGGAAACTCATTCGCAAAAACACCAGGAAACTGTTTGTTCCCATCATTACGCATAAAATATTCCCAACGTTCTAAATTGTAGTTCTATTAAATATGTATTTGTAACGACAGAAGACAAGGACCAGGCAACACATCGTTTATTAAGGAAATCAACACATATTTACATATTTTCATGTACATTATTTTTCGTTATTATTAGAAGAAAAGCAACGTCTTCTGATTGGTTGTTCTCTTGGTGAAGATTATCCTCCATGCAATCAAACAAAATCCCTACAAAACCAATACTTGAAGATTATTCTGTCATCTCTTTGTGGCTGTTTTTTAGACAGTCCGGTAATATATCTACGAATCGTATTTGGACACACTAAGTTTGTTGTGATTGGTTTTTGAATTCCTAAAGTTTAAGCTTTGTTCTTGCCTTTTCTCATGACCAAGATTTGGGACGAAACCACTGAGGTAAATTGTTGTTTGGCTAGCAGACAGATCTCATCACAATACTACTTACCAGTAATAAGTAGTATGAGAGCTAAATACGAATCAATGGGAAGAAAAGTATTCACAATTACTGATTCAATAAGACATTAGGAAGGCAAATATTGGGGAATTATATCACATCGTGATTGCATTTTGATCACTCTACAAATAGCATGGTTCACAAGAATAAAATAAAATGTATGACAACTACTCAGTTATATCGAATAAAAAATATGCTGATAGCATTTGGGCAGGTAGTCTATGATAGCCAAAGATCAAATCCTATTGTTTTCTGTACACATAGTTTGGGATGTGTTAAGTTGATCCAAAGTACTCTCACTATCTTTAACAGCTCTAAATTAAAGTTATGTGAAATAATTGAGAGGCAATAATCAATACTGATTTAATAATTAATGAATGCTTCGTAAAGGATGATATTCAACAAATATGTAGGAGAAAATGCAGGTGGATCGGGCATAATTTGAAGAGACTGTCAAATGACATCGCGAGCTAAGCTTTCGAGAGGAACCCGAATGGGAAATGATGAATGGGTAGTCAATGTGAGGGTGACATAGAGGAGATCTTGTGTGTTGGAGAGGAAGAGATTAGAGATTATGGGCAATTGTGTGACTCAGCTGAATAAGACAGATTAAAATAGAACACACTGACAATGTGTTGTCGAAGGCCTATGGTCCACTCCGAACTCTGAGGAATAATAACAATAAAGGATAATGTGTGATTTAATAACTATTTAGGAACATGTTTTTTTTTCCGACAATATTTGAACATTCCATTGGTTCTATTCTATGTATGTGTCAGCAGAACTGCAGGTGAACTCGTAGATATACTATGCAGTAGAGTCCATCGAATTTGATCCTTTAATTATACGCTGGGGAAATAGAAGTGTTCGAGATGTAAAAAGAGAAAAGATGAAGCGTAAAATGTGCAGCTGATAAGTGACCTAAGTTTTTGAGCTATCAATTGCATTGTTCTGATCACCCTTGAATTCTAATTCAATAAGGATAGCTTTCTTCGGTATGCAGGCTGTCATTTTACTATAACATACAGTGAAATTCACAGAATACCCATTGACCAACAGAATTCAATATATACACCCCTTTACTCAACCATTTAATGTACCGCTTGTGGAAATTATATGGGCTAATAAAAAAAGCAGCTATTCCACTAGGCAACGTTTGTACTGGATAAAAACAATACTACTAGAATGAAGATATTGTCTACTTCATATTTTACCACTATGAAACAGGCTAGTTCTAAAGCAATCGTAGAACAACCTACAAAACGATGTCATCTTGCAGTGTACATCTTCTCAATGTCTGATATGCATTTGTCAAAGGGACTGACTGTTTCAAGAATGCTGATTACTGACATTCTCTTATAGCTGAAAAACTGATAAGTACATTCTGTTTACCTGATTTTCTTTTTAGTTAACATGTCAAAGAAAACTAGTATTGAAATATATTGGAAATTACAATAAGAGTGAACAAATCACTTTTCCTGCAGAAGAATCCGCTTTATACAAGAAAGACAATCAGAAAGAAGGCATTAATAAGCGTAAGTTTTATGTTGTGGATTATTTATATGGTCTACAGTTATGCACTTAATTTTCATCCAAAAAATTACCAGTTTGAAACTGTACCGCTTTTATCAAGATTTGGCTAACGCCGGTAGATATGAATCCGGCGGCCTGCTTAAATCATCAAGCATAATGTGCATCGGTGACACAGCGGTTAGGACTCTCGCCAACTGTGCACATGACCCGGGGTTCAATCCGCTACCAACGCACACCTGATATCAGTTGGTCAGCCTGCGAAATTTGATTATATGTTCCTGTTAATAAATCTCGGTGGATATCATTTCTGAATGACGATTTCTTTCAGATGGTCCAGTTTTATCGTTGAGCATCAGAGCTGAATATTCGTAGGAAGTCAGTGACAAGGAATACAACTGGTATCAGTTGAAGAACCCTTGGAAAGTCAGGAAGTATTGGATAGATGTTTCATTCTACTTTGGAGCTCTTCATCACTGCGTACCCACTGGGGTTATGTTATACACTGAAAAACCTGGTAGAAGTTAGAATTCTTGGGCCTTTTCGCCGGATCCCATTGGCCAAAAGGTCTACGAGCTAGACCTGTATTCGGAGGTTTCGTGTTTGAACCCCGGTGCGTACATCTTGACAAATTAAAAAGAATTGGCTGGGCAATACTTCCAGGTTTCCCAATGGTTCACTAAATGATATCACCTCGTGAATGAAGATACTGGAGTTGTTTTAATCCTAAAAACTACACATAAATCAGTTTAAATATTAATGACATAAAATCTGTGTTTTTGTCTTGTTAATGTAGTGAGCACCTGTGCAGAGGATCACTGTCCAACTCCACTGAAGCATATGTAAGTGATTTTTATTTAAGCGTGTTAATGTTCACGTATATACATTTTCTTTTAATTCTTCGCGTTGTGAATGGAACATAGGCCTTCAAGCATTGAACTTTTAATGGATGCTGTTGCTAGCCGCATACCCAACCTTCGTTCTCTACTGGGATGACTACTGGTTTAGCGAGGTTTAGGAGTGAGTCAGCAGAGGATTAAGTGAGTTGCTGGCTTGTATTCTACTGTTAAACAACTGATGCAGAAGTCGAAAGGTGTAAGGAATCTAAACCGCCGTTATGTGCTCATATAGAAGTATACGAAATATTGTAATTGCCTACTGTTATTTCAAACAGTTTCATAAATACCGTGTTAACTCATACTACTCACCACTATTAAGTAGTATGAAACCAAAATACAAAATAAATAGGGATTATGAATGGAAAGAAAAGTATTTACAATTACTGATTCAATAAGACATTAGGAAGGCAAATATTGAGGAATTGTATCACTTCGTAATTGCCTTTTGATCACTTTACAAATAGCATGGTTCATGATAATAAAATAAAATGTATAACAATTACTGTTTTATTAGTGCAGGTAGCCTATGGTAGGCCAAGGTTAAAGCCTATTGTTTTCTGTGCACATAGTTTGGGATGCGCGTGATTGATCCGAAGTACTTCCATTATCTTTAACAGCTCTAGATTGAAGCTATGTGAAAAAATCAATAGTGATTTATTAATTAATAAATCCTTCGTAAAGGATGATACTCAGCAAACATGTAGGAAGAAATGCAGATGGTCTGGGCATTCATTGAGGAGACCGCCGAGTAATATAACGCACCCGGTCCTCAAGTGGAACCCGAATGCGAAATGACGAGTGAGTTGTCAATGCGAGGGTGACATGGAGGAGATAAAATACCTTTTCTTCCTTTACATGTTTAAACGCCCCACGTAGATTAGTGGGTGTAACACATTCCCATCGGGTGTAGAGCTTGATGAAATACAGAATTTCTTGGACAGTGTAGTCAAAATTCAGAAATCTGCTTTTGGACATCTCAACGCTAAAAGTAAAATCAATAACTCTGTTAAGATAGCGTCTGAAGTATTCAGATGCATAGTTTATAGAACTAATACCACCCAGGACTTGTCTGTTAACTGTCAGAGTTATGTATTCTGCTTCTTAGATATTTCAGTACATTTAGAAAATGCAACATTATTTGCAATTAAATAGTGTTCTCTGAACTGGTTGGTTTAGTTGGGGAGATTTCGTCGTCCTTCTGGACAACAACATCCCCCTTCAGCACAGTCAGTATTTAGCATGAAGTGGACTGATCTGAACTTTCCATGAGTGATGGAATTATGTCTCTCTGTAACCATCTTTACATATAAACTTATAAGTTTAAAATCCAAGTCAATAGAAAATGATCAATACATATGTAAAGATGGTTAACGGGAAACGCAATTCTATCGCTCATGGAAAATTCAAATTAGTTCACTTCATGCTAAATACTGACTGCGCTGAAGGGAGATGTTGTCCAGAGGGTGGACGACGAAAGCTCCGCAACTAAACCAGCCAGCTCAGAAAACACTATTAATTGTAAATCATTCACCTGAGCTACAAATCTTCTCTATTATTTCAATGCAAAATTATTCTTGTACCCTATTAGATAAATATAATCATTTAATAATAATAATAGCTTTATTCCGAAACAGTACTTGCGATACAGAATGGAATTTTTCAGCATTTTACTACAGTATTGCATCCAGTTAGTAAATTAACAATAAAATAAAATTCTACATAGATTAAGGGCAATCTCAGTTAGTTTTGGCAACAACATATTGGCATGTCGGTAGCAAAGCCAAAATTAAACAGAGTGTTTGAAGGTGCCAAAAAAGTAGGTGCTAGCATATTTACTGGCGTAAGCAGAAGAAAGAAACAACGCAGCACAAAACAGAGAAAAGAAAAAAAGAGAGAGAAAAGGAAAAGAAAAGAAAGAAAAATGTTGTACCTATAAATGATACGAGTTGGAAAGACGAGATCCAATTGTTCTACTGACCATTCACTAAGTTATAAGTTTTACGCCTAATGCTTTCTTTATCGCACAGAACACGAGTTAAGTAGGGTATGGTTGAGTTTTTGGGCTTACTAGTGCGAGCATCTAGTTTTCTATACGAGCTTCTGGTCCTGCCTGATGAGATAGATACAAGGGGAGAGTTGTGAATGAAGAGGGTGGTGTGTGTTAGATAAAATGGATTTAGCCCATTTTTCACATGAGTCCATGTGCCTGTCAACCAGAATATTAACAAGCTGGTGAAGTGGCACGTAGCTTACCCTGCTGACAACCTTTAACATCCTACGTAATAAGGTATAGTCTTTCCTCAGTAGCCCTGAAAAAACTAAGGGGGAACAATAGAGAATAATAGGCAGAATACGGGAGTTAACAAATTGTAGAAGGTAAGACGGAATATTTTCTTAGAAATCATCAACATATGATGAGACGATCAGGAAAGATCAGAAGATAGAATGACGCCAAAGTATGTAATTTCTGACTTGGTTTATACTTCATTGCCATCAATGTTGCACATCTCTAAGTGCTAACCAGTTTGTTTAGGTCAGATTTGTGCATAAAGGTGAAATTAACTGTTTGACATTTGGAGGGGTTTAAGATGAGACCTTTTTCCTTGGACCATTGGCTGACTTCTGATAAAAAGCCATTTAGTTTAGAGCAGTTAATTTGACATTTGACAGGCAAAGATACAGTTAGGTCATCAGCATATTTGACAAAATTAATGTCATTTGAAAATGGTAGGTCATGTAGAAAGAAAGAAAAGAGAAGTGGGGAAAGTACAGCACCTTGGGGGACACAAGGTCACAGAATAAAAGAATGTCTACTGCTGGACCAAATGTATCTTCAGATTACCTTGTGAACAGTTTGCAGGGTAGTCTCAAAGGTGATAATTTAGTGAAGCAGGTCATATGTCTGTACCGAATGAGATGGGTGGGCAATATTTCACTTATATTTAACGACTACTTAATAGTATTCTGTTTGTAACCTAAACTTGTGTCTTGACTTTAAACATTAGCCTAAACGTTTAATTCAATCATTTTTATGGAAATGAGACAATTAATTCATTACCTTAACTTATAAAATGATAATAAACACGCGAATAAGCAAATAAGAAATATGTTTTTTAAAGATATACCACTCATAAGTAGTGTAGCTATTGGTGATGGTAACTAAATGATCGAGGTAACTATATAAAAATTTAAAACAATTAGTCCCTTTTATAAATTTGGATAGCGTCGTTAGAAGATGGAGATTATCTGAAAAAAGGGGTGTGATGTATTTGTGCCATACATTTCGAACAATCTGATCCCTCACATATTTACTGGTCAAGCCGATATATATATATATATATATATATATATATATATATGAACAAGTCAAATTAAACAAAGTGACAAAAAAGACGGATTTAAGAATGATTAACACAACGTTTGGTAATTCAATCATCAAATAAGGATTACCAAGGTAGGTTAAGAGTAATAATAAACTGTTTTTGAATACACAGGGGGAGGAGAGCTTAAGTTTATGAATAGCTATAGCCTCAGCGTATTTCAATAAGCGCCCTTGATCGTTTTTATAGATGACCTTAAAGGCTGAGTTAGCATCAATCCTATGGTTGATCTCGATTAGGTGTTTAGCTATAGAGGAAGTTGGTAGTTTGACACCTACATCTATTGGCTTTTCACAATTCATTTATTTTTATAATCATTTCGCGATATGCTCTCCCACCCTCACATGCAAAGCGCGATTAATCCTCCCTATGGATGTGACCACACACATACGAAAATTGTTAAAAATGTGTTGGATGTGATGTAATCACTTGTGTACTTTTGAGGTTTGCAGTGGAGCATATTTTCTTTTAAGCTTTTTCGACAATCACAAGCTGGACTGCAAGGGCGCTTATTGAATTATGCTGAGGCTATAGCTATTCATAAACTTAACGCCCCCCCCTGTGTATTCAAAAACAGTTTATTAATACTCTTAACCTACCTTGGTAATCCTTATTTGATTGAATTACCAAACGTTGTGTTAATCATTCTTAAATCCGTCTTTTTTGTCACTTGGTTTAATTTGACTTGTTCATATATATATCGGCTTGACAAGTAAATATGTGAGGGATCAGATTGTTCGAAATGTATGGCACAAATACATCACACCCCTTTTTTTCAGATAATCTCCGTCTTCCAATAAAGCTATCCAAAACTATATAAAAAGTAATTTTGACGCATTCGAGTTCTTGGAGCCAGATAGTGATTTCATTTCAAAGCTTTCGTCGTCCTTCTAAGCGAAATCTTCAGAGTAAAATTCTTTATGAAGTTAACTTATTTGAACTCTCCATGAATGTTATAGTTGTATCCTCTGACAATCTTTGTCGTCATTGGTTAATAATTTCCACAAGTTTTTATTGTTCTTTTTAATGACTTAGAAGTTGATTTTCCTGTCTTATGGTTAATTCCTTATTAGTAGATAAATTTAGTATCTAATGTTGTGTCTGTCAGTCGCTGATTTGTCTAAGTTTCGAGAAATTCCCTGATATTTTGATGTTCCAATGTTTTAAATTTCTACATATCCCTAGTCAAATTGATATCCATTCTTTTCTGCATGCGTAGATATGAAATAACACATCTTGAATATGTTGAAAGCTAGCTTATGTTCCTGGACACCCACTGTGACCAATATATAGTACTTATCAAGATTGATGCAATTTATTTTTTAAATGGTGTTGATTTTATTGACAAAGTTAAACTTCAAGCACCACTGACAACCAATCAGCGAACGACAATCAACAAACCAGTCACAGGAAAGAGGGAATTTTGATTAAGAAAAACGTATATTTATGAAAAAAGAAGCATATGAACTGCATAAAACTGTTGCATAGAGTATCTTTCTCTAACATGTGACAGGCATATCTTCCAGTTTAGCATAGGAGTGTCAATAGAAAATTTACACCTCATTCTGTACATATATTTATCCAAAAGACTATACACGACATCTTTTTGAGATCCATTTATAACCCTGATCCTATTTTTGAATCTTCCCTAAAAGCCCTCTATAGAATTCGTGTGTGTCCGTGTAATTGATGACACCTCTCTGTTGAACAAATCCTCTCCTACCTAAGCAACCCCAAATCCAAGTAATATTGCAAAGCCTTATCTTCTTGGAACTGCAAGCGTAAATTTGCTAGAGCACGCATTTGATACGAATCAAGCGCTATACAACCTTGAACTCACGTGCACGAAGCTCACTGGACCATTCCAGGTCATTCTCTGATCGGTAGTTAGTGGTGCTTAAAGTTTAACTTGTTCCCAAACAACTTCATTATTTTGATGTGGTTGTGTTCTCTGAGCAAGCTGGATAGTTAATTTGCGAAGCTTTCATCTCCCTACTAGGCGACATCTTCAGCGCATACACTACAGTTTGAAGGAAGTGAGCTTTTAGATTTCTCCACGAGTTTATTAATCATCTCTCCTGATGACCTTGGACGTGATTGGTTGTTTGTGTGTGCTTTCACACCTTCTAAATTACTTGTATTGGAACTGGTTGTTTCTTTGACTTCAACTTTGACCCTTTGTGTGTGAAATTTCTTTCTTATTGGTTGATTAATTTTGTCTATCTCGATGTGTCTATTGATTGATGATTCACAAGAATGCCAAGCTTCTGAAAATTCTCTGTTTAGCATTTCTGTTGTTTCCTCTGTCTAGTGTTTGAATGTTGGTTGTCCCAGTCGACTTGGTGTTCGTGGTTGTCTGTATGTAGTGATATGAGGGAGTGGATATCATGTCTTTTGACGGCTAGCTTATGTTCATGGATACGAAGACGAAGAGCAGGGACGTCCACTTTGGCCAATGTAGTGTTTTTCGCAGTTGTTACGATTTATTTTGTAGATGATGTTGGTTTTATCTTCTTTCGTTGTTGAGTCTTTTGGTTGACATAGAATTGAGTGAAGCGACTATATTGGTTTGTGTGCGACGTCAATTCCTAAAGGTTTGAAGTGTCTTGTAGTGATTTCTGAGATATCCTTTATAAATGATAGGGCGATTTTCTTTGTGTTTTCCTTGGAGACTTTTGGTTTGATGGGTTAGCTTGAGGGTATATGTCTCTTGATGAAATTATGTGGATATCCATTCTTTTGGAAGACGTCCATGAGATATTTTTCTTCAGTTTTCCCTAATGTGGGAGTGCAGCAATGAGTTCTGACCCTCGTGAGAAGTGTTTGTATGCAATTCCATTTGTGTGTTATTGGATTGTTGATGTTGTAATTCAGTATTTGGTTTGTGTGATTTGATTTTCTATAAACTTGAGTTTCTAACTCCCCTGTGGTTGTTCGCTTGACTAAGACTTCCAAAAATGGGATTTGGTTTTTCGGATTCCTCTTCTCTTGTGAAATTGATGTCGTTGATGTCGCAAATTAACTATCCAGCTTAGAGAACACAACCACATCAAAATCATCCACCTGAGCTACAAATCTTCTCCATCATTTTAAAATCTTACGAGCGGAACGCGCTTCTCTCTGTTCGAAAATGGGATGACTTCACCAAAAGGTAAGGATCCACCAGAGAACCAGAGGGATGTAATTATATCATTAATGGAGAATTCGAATAAATTTAACTCATAATAGAATTGCGCTCCATAATTAAATCACCATTCGGCTCAGAGAATGTACCTCAATAAAAATCATCCATCTGAGCTACAAATCTACTCTTCTACTATTATTATATTATTATTATATATATCTTTTAATTCCTGGCGGAACAGAGGGCTTCATCCGCCCAAGTCTCCATTGCCTTCTGTTTTCTGCCAACTTTTCACCCCGCTCCAAGTCTGCCCACATGCTTTCATCTCCTCTTCACATCACCTCCTCCAAGTCACCCTTCCACTGACGACCGACTCGACAACTGTTAATGAAGGTCTGTAGTTTGTTTGAGATGCTCTTTATGACGCGCAGTGCAAGTCTCTGATCCGTATAATGAGCAGCACTGACTTCCCGTCGGAGTTGAGAATCCGGATTTTATTTTTGATGCTAAGTGCTGTTAACTTCCACACAGACTTGAGAGTAATGAAAACCTGTCTTCCTTTCGCGATCCTTCCTTTGATATCCTCGTCAATTCCGTCCGCTTGGAGTTTGAAAGATTTTTCCCTGGTAGTTAGATGGGTAAAGAAGGTTGCTTCTTTCAGATTCCTCCCGTTTATTCTGACTGTTGTCTGTTGTTGTTGTTGATGCTTTTGCTGTTGGCCAGGAATCTTCACCATCACCTCTGTTTTTTCCATGTTCACCTGAATTGTAGGCCTATCTTTTATGCTTCTTCTATCGCCAGCTTGTTGCTTTTCACTTGCATATCTTCCAGTTTGTGGGAAATCAGACATATATCATCATCGGTGAAATTCAGATCCTCCAAGTTCTTTGTGTCAGTCCATTTTATGCCTGTTTCCTCATTGCCCGTTGTCTGTCGCATTATCCAATCTATTACAATCAGAAAAATCATTGGCGATAGTAGACACCCTTGCCTCACTCTACTCTTCTACGTAGAAAGTTAATTAGGCAAAAGGGAAAATTTTGAAGTTAATTATTTAATATAATAAAATTAAGTAATTGCTATTATTAAATTCTATAGTGTATCACATATAAACTATCTTAGATGTTATTGCTCTCTCTCTCCTCCACCGCCAAAAAAAAACATTACCAGTATAAATGAAGAAAAGGTAGAAGAGACCAACTGTCATGTCAAAGAAATAAATCTACCTGTGATTCAAAACAAATTTCGTCATCGACATTTCAATCCTGAAATCTACTATGATCTAAATATATCAGTTGATCATTTTATTGAATTAAGCCAGAGAGATGTAGAGAAATGCATTGAAAATGAAATAAGTAGAATGAGAATAGCCGTTGGGGAAAATGATGAATATGCTCATTGGAGAATAGTGGTCAATAAACTGCCGACAGATATTAAACCAATTTTAAAGTATTTTAAATCAAATATACAAAAAGAACAATACATTAATTTCAAGGTAGGTTTATTTATGATGATTAAGAATAACTGTAGTTAAATAAATTATAATTGAGTGAGTTTCATATAGGGCATAAGGCTTCAGTTCAGAGGCTGGCTCATCTCCACTGTACTCCATCTTCTAACGTCTCTTTAAATCTATTCCATGACCGTCGGAAAGCTTTGATTTCTCCTCCTCACACGAGATTCGAAGTGACTATCTTAAGACCATAAATATCCGTTTCACGTTTATCGGTGCTCATCAAGTAAAATTCTTGACAAACTCAGGGGAACAGTACATCAGCATTGATTGATTTAATTACGGGCATCACTACTGAGCTGGTTCATATATGCCGTTTGACTGAAGAAATCTGATAGATGCTTAACCACCTGGTCCTTAATGGTAGTTGAATGCTGAACTTGTGAAGATTTGAACTATTAATAATAGTAGGAATTAGGGTACAGTGGAAACCGCAGTACACTAGATTCACAATGGCTGAGTAATAACCTTCTTCCCCTGTCATCTTAAAGTCCTAGATTCACTTCTACGTTCGATCTTAAATGCTGAATTCTAAAAAAAAAATTTCAAAATAGAAGACGACTATCTAAGGTGTTATCTAGTCCTTAAAACGCTTTAAAGTTTATAATGAAATCTAACTAAACTTTGCCAAATAGTTTTGTATTCTGATCAGCGAATTGAGAGATGTTCGAGTACTGGGATGTTTTGTCAGTGTTGGATATCTTGAAGTTATAAAATCAATAAGGTATAAATACAAATGTTAAATAAGCGGTTCTGTACGGTACAAAGAATGGGTACGCGCGCATCATGCCAAGCATTTCTAACAGGTTGCAGACTGACACCGACACCTGCGTTCAACGCCTGGATATTGAAGAAAACATGAGCGGCAAGGAATTCTGATGTAACTATCCTAAAATATTCATTAGGAATATCAAAAAAGGTCAAAAGCAAAATAAAAATAATGGTAAAACTAATAATGGTAACATAAATATGAGAGAATATAAGGCATCTGCTGTTATACCATATAAGGAGGGAACCTCTGAGATCCTCCCCATGTAGGACTCTCAATAAAGCAGGAATTTGGGTGGTATTCAAACCTACAAACTCACTCAGAGACAAGCTCTATGGGCTAAAGTGCCCGGCAGACCCAGTTAAACAAAATAATATAATTTACAAAATACCTTGCAATGACTGCGAGTGAAGTCAACTACATAGGTCGAACTAGTAGATCAGGAGTAGTGAGATTATCAGAACATCAGAATTTAGCTAAGGTAAGAATGGTTGACGCCACGAGGATAAGTAATTTAGAAAACAACTCAGCAATTGCACTACATGCATTAACACACAACCACACAGTAGGTTGGGAGAGGGTTAAAATTCTAAGAATTAATACAGGTAGGTGGAGAGTGAGAAAGATTGATTACTGAATCCTTGTTCATCAACTCTACACCCAACACATACAACAGAAATGATTCAACACAGAGGCCAGCGACATGGAAGATATTATTCCTACCAGTAAAATCAGAGTAGGATAATAAATATTCTTAATATTCTATTTCAATTCACATACATTATAACATTCTAACAAGTTACTTATTTTGAGTATAAAAACATCTCATGTCCCATCTGACTGTATTTTATTGATCGCACTAATATTATTATTTCCGAATGTACTTTATCTTACATTGATTTTGTTCAAATGTCTAACAAGGAAGTAAAAATTTTGTGTGAGTCCCTTGGTATAACCATGAGAAATAGATTGTGCTCAAAACGTGGTCATCAGTTAATATTACTGTATAACAACACTGTGCGATTTTATCAAAATAAAATTTTATCCCTAATGGAGTAATACACTACTACCACGACACAGTGCCCAGGTTTTATCCCTACATTAGGAACTTATCACCCAACAAATATACAAAAGTAAGCGGAGATGAATTGGATTAATACGTTGAGGAGACATTTGAGTGATATCACATACCAGATCCTCTTTAAATGGAACTCATGCTGGGAAAGACTAGTTGAGTGTGATTCCGAGTTTGACATAGAGGAGATCGTATGAGGCAGAAGTGCAAGCTCATGGTCAGTAGTGGAGCCAGCTACAAAAGACTTCGGAGAACAAAAAGAGATGACGTATGTTGGTGAAGCCTCACATTCCACTCGGAGCCAAAGGGATTAATAATAACTGTAATTATTTATTATTTATTTATTTATGTATTCCTTTATGTTACCAGTGGAACACCCGGCTTCAAGCTAGGGGCTTGAAGTTTCTGTAGCAGTGATGCTTATTTTTACAGGATGGGGTTGCTAGCCTCATGTCCAACCTTCCCTCTTTACCAGTCTTATTACTGGCCTAGGTAGGTGAAGGAGTGAGTGCGTCGGTGGATGAGGATCGAACCCCGGACCACATGAGCCGTGGTTGGTGAGCATTCTACCGCTGTGCCACCGACGCACAGTAATTCTAATCAGAATATTAGATCTCGTCATGTGAATACATTGGAAACCTCCATAGTTACGATAATCATTTACGATCTGCCTAACTCCAAGACACACATATGGGAGGAATCTATACACTATTTGAAGCCATAAGGAAGATTTTTTATTTGAGTGAGTGTTCAGTGCTAAATTTTCTTTGTATTTCACATTTCGACTTCAGACGCTTCTTCGTTTCACCTTCATTATTATTAATATTATTGTCGTTATAATTAATAGCTCATCGCTGATGAAATAGCAAGGCTTACACACGCAATCAACACAAATCCTTCAAATAAATCGGGATTCGATTTATGTCGTCGAGGTGCGCTATACAGAAAGGTAACAGTCACACTAATTCCTATTTATTTTGTTATCTAGTTATTTTATTACCCTTGTTATCGTAATCTATTAGTCATTACTCTAAAAGAATAAGGATCAATATGATTTTTTGGTTAAATTCTCCAAGGGAAGTCAAATTCATGACGCTACCAACTACTGATGGGTTGTTATGAGTAGCTAGACATTCATTTAAGGCCAGGCTCATCAGAGGTGTCCCAATTTTGACTGAATCACGAATCGTAGCCAGCTAATTGGATGAACTTGTAACACAGAATTCGGGTAGTCCTAACTAATCCATTCCCCTGCTGCAAGTTAGACTGAGTACATCGATGTTGAACTTGACCCCAAGCAAATGAAGTGGCTGGCCAGAATTTAGATCGCTTCGATTCGACTAGTGATCACTACCTATTAATATAAGTGGTGTGTGTGTGACTACTCATCGATTAATCAGTAGTATATAGCGTCATGCATCAATATTTAATTTCTTTGAATAAAGTAAGAACAAGAGCGGTTTTCGCAAAATAAAATGGTACCGTCATTGTTTATTTCGTGGACTTCTCATCCACTCAGCTGCTTACAGGCCAAAGTCATTATTAAATATATCTACAGAAACAACTTTAACATACTTGCACATAGTTCATTTTAAACAAAAATCAATCAATCTATACATGCATACAGTAATAATATATACATATATATAATATTAAACACTATTCCGAACAGTAATAATCATACACAATGGAAACTTTCGACATTACGTAATCGACAGCTAAGCTGGTTCCCGTCTATCGAACAACTTGCTCTTTGGTGCAATTAAAAATCGATAGATATCCTTCTTATGTTCACTCTAATTGTATATACCAATTTACATGTTTCTGAAGGAGCAGTTATATTGGAAGGACAGAAAGAAGAAGGGTATATCTACGATTTTCTGAATATGTACGAAAAAACTAATGTCTAAAGGGAGCAAATGCTGTAAACAGTGCCATTTCCAGGCATCACCTTGACACGGGTCATGAGGTGGACGTTGCAAAATCGTCAAAAATGATTAATAGGCAAATGAGCTCTATTCTCCTCAAGTTTACTGAAGCCATCTCCATCAAGCACCTGAAACTTAATTTGTACGTTCAAAAAGAAACAGTTATCAGTGCTTCTTTGTCCTGGTAACTGGATATTTTCACCACTCTTTCGTTTGACTACGTGATACCAAAGGTTTCCATTGTGTAAGATCATTATTGTTCGGAATAGCGTTTAATATTACATATATATATATATATATATATATATATATATATATATGTTATTACTGTATGCATATATTGATTGATTGATTTTTAATATAGCAAAAATATTCATTCAGATATCTATAAAACACAACATAATCGAGCAAAGAATATTCTTTTCAATAAATTCCTCTTCTGGCTCTACAATTATATACATGTTTATATACACAGAATATTCAAGGTTGGTAGTTAATAACAATATTAGTGTTTTTTAAATAATATCGATTTGTTAAGTAAGATCAATGCAATTACAGTTCACTAAAAATACTGAAATTATAATAGTAATAAAGATATAATAGCGAGTAGGATATCAACTAAAATTAGGAAATTTTCACGAAAATTGAGAATCATTCAAACCTAAATGGCCAAGGTAGGGACAGCGTCTGAACTAACTTCTTTTGGACGGACAAATTAGGCTTTTTAATGTGGATCCCAACAGCCTCAGCAATATTTAGTAATCGAACTCTTAAGGCGAAGTTGAGATTTGTTGGTATCCGATAAATAACTCTGAAAGCTTGATTAACATCAATCCTATGTTCTGTATCCACCAGATGAGCCAAAATAGCGCTACGGATAGATTTTGTTTGGCCTTTGCTTAACCACGCAGGGTGATGTTCGGAAATTCGACGAGAAGCACGCCTAATTGTGCGGCCTATGTAACTGGCTCCACAGGAGCAATTAAATTGGTAGATACACATGGATGAGGCGAAATTAGGCAGTTTGTCTTTTACTCCCGAACGCAGAAGAGAAGTAGTCTTAAAGATACAACGTAATTCAGCGGCAGGGAATGCTCGTTTTACCGTGTTTCTTTATTACTATTATAATTTAAGTATTTTTAGTGAACTGTAATTGCATTGATCTTACTTAACAAATCGATATTATTTAAAAAACACTAATATTGTTATTAACTACCAACCTTGAATATTCTGTGTATATAAACATGTATATAATTGTAGAGCCAGAAGAGGAATTTATCGAAAAGAATATTCTTTGCTCGATTATTTTGTGTTTTATTGATTGATTTTTGTTTAAAATGAACTATGTGCAAGTATGGTAAAACTGTTTCTGTAGATATATTTAATAATGACTTTGGCCTGTAAGCAGCTGAGTGGATAAGAAGTCAGCGAAATAAACAATGACGGTACCATTTTATTTGCGAAAACCGCTCTTCTTCTTGTTTTATTCAAATTCTTTATGTGGAATAATTCTATGAAACCGCTTAATTTCGTGATTGCCATTAAATGGCAACAAGTAGATCACATACATTGTGATATGAAGCATTTTGAGAATAAATGGCTGACTGACTGATTTGTTTACTGTGGTTACATTCTCTTGATCAAAACTATGAGTTATGTTCCACCTGTGATGATTGTCAGCTAACTGTACTTATCTGAAACGCTTGATATGGATCAAAATATGTGAAAAAATTGACAGCTACCCCTCCTCCGGCTTTACTGTCATCCTACCTACTTGTGTGAACTTGTAAGACAGAACTTAGGTCATTTGAACTGACTCGGTTCCGTAGGTTGATTGAAACTAAATACCTTCACCAAAAAGTTATTGCTGTCAAATGCCTGAAATCCGATTTATTATCTGATCAGAAATGAGCAGTTATCACTCCTACGATGGAGTTGTGAGCCTCTCATTTATTTGATTACTTTACCTTCGACTTAAACCTCTTCCTCTTCACTGTTGGTGTTTCAATGCTTGTCTCTTATTTCTATGATTTGAGTTGAATTCACCACATTATTACACTCAGGCTTTAAGTGACTTACTATCTTATCAATCTTTTGTCTTCATTATGCAACTCCTTTACCACTGTATCCAAGCATTTACTATTTTTTTTTGTGTGTACTTTAACCTGAATGCTCTATGTATTAGTTAGTTATGTAATAGTAATTTCTGAGCACCCTTTTATTGATTTTGAAGTCCCTTGTTGTGAATTTCTCCCGAAAGAAATCCGAAACGATAATCCAAACTATTTAGATTTAACCACACGTAGAGTGACGCGTAAAGTCCAAAATACAGGATATTCTGCAATACGGTACTTTATTACATAAAAATAGATATATATAATATACAAACCTCAAAATGTGAGGTGTCTGTGGCTAAATGCCGTCAAATGCACAACCACTGTGCAGTCAATAAGTAAAAACAGCAATGCTGTGTCAAGGTCGATCCACGTGTCGGTTCAAACGGCCGGCGAATTCCAAGCAAAGAATAAACAAATATGAACAAACAACTTTCAATAGTAAAGCATACACTATAGGGTAAATGCAGCAAATAATGTTTAAGGAGAAGAAAAATAAGAACTATACATTAATAGAATGATAATAGAACAAGTAATTTAACTGCGGTTGAAAGCAAATGTCATTGTTATAAATTAACATATAAAAATCATACTACTTACTAATGGCAAGTAGTATAATGTTGAAACAAAGGAAAGATTGAGAATGAACAGGTAGGGAAAGGAATTAACACTTGTCAACTGAAATTATGTAACATTTGCAGGTATACTAAGCTTGTTTTATGCATAAACCTAATAATACCTTTAGCCTGTACACGGCTGATGACAAGCCAACGAAATAGACAATAATGGAACTGGCTTATCTTGCACAAACCACCGTTCTTACTTTATCCAAATTCATAAGGCGTATTAAGTGTATGAAGTAACAGAGAATATCTGAACATTTTATTTTTTTAATGTGAATTTTTAATGGGCATTTGCTTATGGCAAGAATTTTTGTTCGGCGTATTTCTGAACACTGCCCTGAATAATGGTTGGTTAAGTAAAGGACAAACAAAATCTATTCACATAGCGCTATTCTATCTCATCTTGTGAATTGAGAATACAAAACTCATGTCAGCGAGGCAGCTTTCAAAGTCATTCACAGCATACCAACAAATCTTGATTTCGTCTCAGTAGTCTGTTTACTAAATATTCCTAAGGCTGTTGAAATCCACATGAAGAAGCCTAATTTATGTGTCAAAAAGAAGAAGTTGGTTTAGACATTGTCCTTACCCCTTGGCCATCTAGATCGGAAAAGTCCTCAAGTTTTTGTAGTAATTTGCTCTATTTTAATTGGTATTTATATTTTCTACTATATCTTTATTATTATTATTTAAGCATCCTTAATGAACTGTAATTCCATTGATCTTACTTCACAAGTCGATATTATTTTAAAAAAAACACCAATATTGTTCATTAAAACATCTATAAAACACAGAATAATTCCCTCTTCTGGTTATAAAATTATACATAGATATGTTTATATACACAGAATATTCTAGAATTGTAGTGAAGATCAATATTAGTGTTTCTTAAATAATATCGATTTTGAAGTAAAATCGATGGAATTACAGATCATTAAAGATGGCTAAATAATAGTAATAATAATAATAATAATAATAATAATAAAGATATAATAGCAATTAGAATATCAACTAAAATTAGGAAGATTTCCACAAAAATTGAGAATAATTCGAACCTAGATGGCCAATGTAAGCATAATGTCTGAACTAGCGGGTTAACATCAGTCCGGTGTTCTCTATTCACAAGATGAAATAGAATCGCGCTGCAAATAGACTTTGTTTTTCTTCTTATTATTATGCATAATTGTAAAGCCAGAATAGGAAATTATCCAAAAAAGATATTCTTCGCTTAATTATTTTGTTTTTTATAAATATTAATGGAGCAGAATATACATATATACTAATAGAAATACACTAAGATATATATGTAACTGATAAGACAATAAACTACAAAGAGTCCATCATGCCAAACTATATGTACCTCTCTTAGAAATGGTTAACTAAATATGTGAACAAGTGTATAACCAGTTGATAAAAATTGACATCCTAAAAGAATTATTATTTATGTGTACCATAAATTAAAATTTCAAATTTGTTGGCATCTGATATCTGACGCCTTCACTACGTAGGATTCTCGATAAAGCAGGAATAATGGTGACATTCAAACCTACAATGTCATTCAGGTAGAACAAGCTCTATAGGCTAAGGGACCCGATGGACCCAATTAAACAAAATAATATAATTTACGAAATACCCTGAAATGACTGTTAGTGAGGTCAACTACCTAGGTCAAACTAGTAGGTCAGGAGTAGTGAGATTGTCAGAACATAAGAATTTAGATAAGTTAAGAATAGTGAATATAAGTAATTTAGATAACAACTCAGCAATTGCACTACATGCATTAACACACAACCACACAATAGGGTGGGTGGGAGAGGGTTAAAATTCTAAGCAGTAATACAGGTAGGTGGAGATTGATTACCGAATGTTGATTCATCGAGTCTATGCCCAATACATGCGACAGAAGTGATTCAATGCAAATATCAGAGATATGGAAGATATTATTACCACCATTCAATCAAATCAGAGAAGGATAATAAATAATGTTAAAGCGTATTCGTTTCTCATTATAGCATTCTATTAAGGTACTTATTTTGACTATAAAAACACTCGTCTTATTTCCCATCTGATTGTATTTGATTGATAACACTCATATTATTATTATTTCTGAATGTACATCATTTTATATTGATTTTTATTCAAATGTCCAATCATCAATTCCACTCATGTGTATATAAATGAAACAAGAAAGTTGTGTGAGTGAGTGACTTGATATGATTATGAGCAGTAATAGTTTGTGCTCGAAACGTGGTCATCAGTTAATATTACTGCATAACACTGTGTGTTTTATCAAAAATAAAATCTTATCCATAATGGAGTTATACCCTACCAACATTGCCCAAGTTTTATACGTATATCAATAACAATGAAACCAGTTGATTTAATAATACTAACAAAATTTAGTTTTAAATACACCAAGAGTAATTAACAATATGACATGGAGTAAGATGTTATTTATTGATAATGACACTTAATAAGTAATATATGGCAACATGGTAGATTCAGAGTGACTACCATTTCCGTTTATGTACAGAGATCAATGTTATAAAGCTTAACTACAACCATCTTTCTGTCTGTTTGTGAAAGACCTGACAGTGTCAATATAATATAGTCTACAACTGCAACGACAAAAGATAAGGGCCAGGCAACAGATCATTCATTGTGAAAATCAAGAGGTATTTATAGATTTTTATGCACATTGTTATTCGTTATTGTTAACAGAGAAGCAACGTCCTCTGATTGGTTGTTTTCCTGCTGAAGGTCATTCTGTTATCTCTTAGTGGTCATTTCTTTGAAGGTCAAACCAGACATGTGCGAGTCATATTTGTACACGCTAAGTCTGCTGTGATTGGTTGTGGATTTCCTCAAGGTTAGACTCTGTTATTGTTTAATCTCATGGCCCGGTTTCAAGACGTCAACATTGACGTAAATTGTTGTCTACAATTTTAGCTGGTGGACAGCTCTCACCACATAACATACTTTGCTATTCAAACTTTTTGATATCTTGGTATCGCTAGGACAAATGCTCGCTTACGTGATTATGCAATCTACCTTTCGATATGACTGATAATATGCCTCTAAGAGAGAGATAGAATACACAATTTCTAATGGAAACTTACTTATGCTAACTGCTTTTACAATATTTATTGTATTTATGTGTGTAATTTTTTTCTGTTATCACTATACAGATTGGTAGATTACAAGCAGCAAAAATTGATCTTGTTAAATCGATTGAATATGAACCGAACTTATCATCTGCTCATTGGCATATTCATTTTATACACTTACTTGAAGGTAAATTAGAAGAAGCATTGAACGACTTGAATCAATGCATGAAATGCTTAAATACTTTTAATTTAAATAACGATACTACTATTAAAGGTAGTGTTAGTAGCAGGAGAAAATATTCAAAAAAAGCTCATCAATTCTATGAAAATATTCTTCATTCAAAAGCTTTTATCTATTCTCTTATGAATAATTGGAAACTAGAAGCTGAAGTATGGACAAATTTAATACAGTTGAATCCTACATATGAATTGGCTTATCTTAAAAGAGCTCATGCTTATCTTAAGGTAATCAGTTAATTTGTATTTGTTTTTTTTTGAGCAAACTTTATGATTCTCACCATTCTGGAATACTGTTTGTTATAGAGTAGTGCTAATTCCATTGACAGTTCATAGCTCGAATGCTCTTCATTCATTCATTCATTCATTCTGGAAGTGGTCTGGGTGTGATTCCTAGCCGAAAAACCTCCAAACCTCGCTTAATCAATAGTGACCAGGGAAAGAGGGAATGCTGGGCATGAGGCTAACGACCTCACCCCTCTAAAAAACATCATTGTCACCAAACCTGAAGCCGTAAGTTCCACTCGGAGAGCAAAGGAATGAATGAAAAAACGCCAAATACGGAATCACTAAAAATCAGGCAAAAATGGGACAAAGTTAAACTTTAAGCATCACTAATTAACTACCAATCAGTGACCAATGACCTCGAACCGCACCAATCACGCGAAGGAGGCATTTTTGTGTATGGAATACATATATATTTATGAAAAAAATGCATGAAAACTGTTGAAAAGTGTCATAGAGGACACCTCTATTCTCTCAAATGTGATAAAAAATAGCTCTCAGTTTTAGGTTAGAGTATATCAACAGAGTATAATTCCATTTTGGGTAAAATTTATTTTGATATAGTCTCATAGTGCATTACAGTTATATTTACTAAGGAATGAATTGTGCTCAAAACGTCATCAGTAAATATTACTGTATAACACCACTGTGAAACTTTATCAAAATAAATTTTACCCGCAATGAAATTTTACTCTACCACAGTGCCCAAACTCTATTCTGATATCAACAGAGCAATTTAACCACATTCTATGCATGTAATTTAATTAGGTCTTCTAACCCTAATCTTTCCTGTACCTAACCCTTACGTGAAAATATCCACAAACTAGCTGTAATCTAACTCGAACCAACCCCAATGTCTCATTTATCAGGTTAACCTAACTGTGTTATTTATTTGTTATTTGTTATTTTTGATTACAGCTTGATTCCACACCGTATTTTTGGTACAAGTGTGGAATTTTCAGCATGGATATCGGTAGCCCGAATTTCGCAGGCCGACCATAGATATTAGGTGTGCTTCGTGTGCGTCGGCGTGGGCTCGAACCCCGGACCATGTGTATGGTCAGTGAGAGTCCTAACCACTGTGCCACCGTGTAACTCACTTTGTCAACACAGAGTCATTGTTAACATGAGTTTATTAGAAGGAATTGAATCAGAATAATATGGCGACTGATACCATAGTGTAAGCATTCAATCTGTCTGTAAAATTCTTCTTCACCATTCATTTACCTTTTTTGTATACACTTTTCAAACGTAACTAAGGTGATACCAAGTTGTCTTACCCCCTTTTTTCCATTATTTCTTTCTTTCCACTGCATTACTTAATTCAGTTGAAAATGTTTCAACATTCAAATACTGATTTTATAAAAGTACTTTGTTTAAATCCAAAATCAGTTGAAGCTCAATTTCAGTGCGGTTTATATAAATATTATAACAGGTAAACGTATATTCAATGTTTTTTAAACTTTTATCTTACCAGTAGTAAAGGAATAAATTCTCAGATTGAATTCCTTTTTTTAAAGATTACTTCTATGTATACACGTTGAATGAGCCAGTTGACTGATGACATGTTTCATAAAATACATTTGGTCACTCACAGTAACTTTGCCATGTGGTTTGTGAAATATTTCAGAAATAATTCCTCAAAATTCATGTCAATCAGATAGGTTTAGTTAATTTTGAATAAGCAGCTCCACGCGATGACTGTCTGGTGTTTGGAGTATGCTTATTATGTTAAGGTAATCCGGAATCTTCAGGTTCGATCCCCTGTGTACTGATGGGTGCGCGTGCCAATGAAGAGTCCCAAACTAGGACGAAACAACTGTCCATCGCTCCTCTCGACGACATCAATCCATGTTCAAACTTGAAACGAATCAAATCCTTGCAAGCTAAATCTTGAAAATATATGTATAAATTGGTATCTAGGTACGCCATTCATCCTAACGACGGGCTCTTAGTATCCAGGAGAAAAATAAAGAGGAACAATAATTAAGAATATGAAAAATAAAAGAGTTAATCAAATATTAAAAACAGAGGCTGAGTGATACCACTGTGTCTTAACTTCCTTATGTAGAAGGTATGAAGACAAATTCTGCAGTTGTTTTTTTTTCAAGAAATTGACATGATTTTGGACAATCAGAGAAGATCAGAGGAAAGACTTAATCCAAGATATCTAATAATATGACTTAGTTTGTACTTTAGTGTCCATTATACAATAAAAGTTATAGGAAGGAATCGGTTCATATAAATCTGGTTAATAAGTGAAGGTGAAATTAACAATCTGACAATTTTGAAGGAGTTAACTTGAGACCACTAGATAATTCCTGATAAAAGGTGATTCATTTTAGGAAACTGTGAATGGAAATTAGCAAATACAAAAACAGTCAGATACTTACGATAATTTAAAAATAAATAGTTCTTGATATGACCATCTATTATTATATCCTAGTACGAGTTAACGAGTCTCTTGCTCTAACGCCCTTCTGAACGAGTAGATTAACGAGCCTACTATCCTAATGCCTATTTAAAGCAATAACCATCAAAACACGATACCACTGACACATGTGATGTAAATAAGAAAGGAAGAGGACAAAGGGTTGAGTAGAGATCTTTTGCTGTCTCTGATCAACACCGAGAAAAGCTTGAAAGCATTTTCGTATATATAGGCTTAAATGACCTTCATGCGATAAGTGAAAATAGCTGACAGCCATAGTAGGGTTTAGAGATTATAAGTGGGGAAAAATATAAACACCAATGTACTGTAAAAACAAATGGAATATTTTCTAAAAACTAGGGGATACCGACTTGAGTAGATGCAGTTATGGAAGACCTTCCTTTGCATATATGTAGTATTACTATTCTTCTGAATATTTTATATCTCCTTGTGGGTCAGTGACACAGTGGTAGAATGCTCACCAACCACGCCTGGTATGGCTCTAGGTTCGACCCCTGGCCAAAGAATCACTCCTTTACCTCACTAAGCCAGTAATAAGAATAGTAAAGAGGGAATGTAGGGCACGAGGCTAGCAACCACACCCCTTAAAAATACACCCAACTGCTATCGAAACTTCAAAACCTCTAGCTTGAAGCCCTATGTTTCCCTGGGAATATAAAGGAATTAGAAAGAAGAGAACACAAAGTTCAGCAAAGATATCTACATCTTCCGCCATGTTATTTTCAAAAGCAGCTGTACAATCGCATTTAAATACATAATTTTACATGGATACAATTCTTCTTTGATTCCACATAATTACGATGGCAAATAAAAGGTGATAATTATTTTCAACTAGGTATGGTTTTTACGAGAGGCTTAGAAACAAAATTACACAGGATTATCGGGAATTACAGGTGTATAGGAAATGATCATGGAAACAAAATTGAAATGGTAATTTTCAACTTGAAATGGAAGTTAGGCGGTGTAAAAATATAGATTACAAGAGCCTTAGAAAAACAAACATTGCTCAGGATTAAGATATAATTGTAAAATAGTCATTTTAAACGAATTATAAATGTGAGCAGGAAAAGCATGGAAACAAACTTAAAATAACTGATTTTATAATTGAACAAAAAAAATAGGGTGAATCAAATGAAGACAGAGAGAATAAGAATCACATACACAACGAATGCAAACAAAAAAGATACAAAAAAAACGAAAAAAGAAGAAAAACGCTGTGGATAAAGAAACATATTGAACAAGATCCATGATATTTGTAGAGGTTGGACTAATTTCTTTTGAACACACAGCTGTGTCTTCTCGGTTCATATAGCGAGGGCTTCTGCAGTACAAAGAAGTCGGAAGCATACTGCTTTTGGTAGGTTTTTCGTTGAGGCACCGGTTAATTCAGAAGTGTCATTATTGAACAACTGATCAACACCTCTGACAACATCTCAACTGAGTCTTTCAAAGCAATTTTTACAAAGTCAACAGATGCCTAGCGAAAGCAATTTTCGTGTTTCTAATGCTCTTGTAATCTATATTTTTACACCTCCTAACTTCCATTTCAAGTTAAAATTATTATGTCAATTTTGTTTCCATGCTCATTTTCTATACACCTGTAATTCCTGATAATCCTGTGTAATTTTGTTTCTAAGCCTCTCGTAAAAACCATACCTAGTTGAGAATAATTGTCACCTTTTATTCGCCATCGTAATTATGTGGAATCAAAGAAGAATTGTATCTATGTAAAATTATGTATTTAAATGCGATTGTACAGCTGTTTTTGAAAATGACATTTCCGAAGAGGTAGATATCTTTGCTGAACTTCGTGTTCTCTTCTTTATAAAGGAATTAACAAAAACTGTCCACCTGAATGTTTTATACCTTACCTCCCTAAATTATCACTGGATGAAATACCTCTTAGGATGGTAGGTAGCATGGCAACGGCTAGAACAGAAATATCATCTATTCGCCAGCAACATCATACAACTACCGGTTGGTTTTCTCCTCTGTTACCTCTTCCAGTCTATTGGATGTTCCTAGTCCTGAAAAAAGAAGTAGAGTTAGGGGCAGGCCTAGCCACCCTACCCTAATATACCCCCAGTCTAATCGTTACAGAAGCTTCGAAACACAAAAATATAGGAATTGAAAAATTATTCTTCATTAGAACTGGTGAGACAAAATGATGTGGGTTATTGGAAGCCTTTGGAAAGCCAGTCAGGCAGTGTGTCTTCATCCGATGAAAGCAAAATTAAGCATTGGGACATAGGATGCTCACACAAAATATTCACTTGGTTGCGAAAAGTTGCATTAAGACAACACAATGTAATAATGTATATGTCAGCCAGCTCTTACTACGCTGGACCTCACGCTGTCCCTGGAAGACTTTCAGAAGCAATTTGTTATAACCAACGCGAAAAAACTAGAACACAGATTGGCGACTCGAGAATCCTTTATTTTTACGCCAATATGTGACCAACAATAAGGTTATTATACACAAGGTCTAAGAATAAATGTTATAACAATAAATCACGAAAATACTTCTGATAGTTTTTCTCTGTCTTCCACTGAACAGTGAACGATAAGACGATGACTGCTAGACTGATGACTCCCATGAAAAATATGGAGGAGTTGGGTTTGAACAAACAACCATGAATTGATCGTTCAATCTTTAACTACATTGACAGTATATCCAAACAGATATCTCTTAGCACATAGCAAAATATTACCGGAAAGAAGCAGTTGTTATTTCATGGGGAGAAATGCAATTGATAGACAAGACACCAGTTTTCTTGTCAGAATGGAATTGATAATCAACTCAGGGCTCAGTATGTATCACAACATGCCAGATATAATAAAGAGGTTTCAGTTAAAAGGGAATGTGTAATCAAGGAAGTCACAACGAATATATATTTGACACTTTTGTCTAAATTAAAACAACAATGTGAGATAGCGGTAGAGACTAATGTACTTCGATCCTTTTCGTAAACAAACTGTCTCAGATGATTGAAAACCTTCAGTGAAGATTCAAGATTAATTAAAGGCAGTTTTATCGATTATTCCTGAAAGTGTTGGGTAACAATAGAGGATCTAAACCTTAGATTTTATCCATTGGAATCAGGAAAATATGAAGCCATCATGAATTGTATAATAGGATTTCAAAACGATGAAGGTTTTACACCTGCAGAATGTGAGGAATCCTATTCCTGTTGTAGAATAAAGAAACTTCTAACGGGAATACCCTTTGGATACAAGCAGTTTTAACTGTTCCACTTCATAAGACCATTGGTTTGCAAATTAGAGAGACTGGTTGATTGTTAGAAGATGAAAGTTACAGGGTAAGATATGGTGAATAACTGATTTGCCTGCTGTTTCAAATGCCAAGACTAAATAAACAGATAAGGAACTGGTTACGTACGGTTCTCAGTAAATCTAAGCTTAAATTTTATGACAAACGCTATTCAATTGTCCTATCCTATTCATACATACTTTTATTTATTCCTCTTCTTCTAATGAACATAGCAACTGGAGGAGAGCAGTGGATTATTTTCAAGAAGTCCTGATGAATAATCCAACACATTTTCGAGCACATTATTATATGGCTAGAAGTTTAATTAAGCTGTATAAATATGACATAGCCTTAGCTGAACTAACAGCTTGTCTTTACTTTGAACCAATGTATTACAAGGTAGGTTTATATATGATTCTTTCATCTTCTGAGCTGATTACTCGACTCAATCCGTCTATTTTTTTTATAAAAATGTAATCTACTTTAATTGTAATTCAGTAGTATGATTTTATCAGTCTAATTATCTCCTATTGTTATTCCTAGAATAACTGTAGGTATGCGTAAATTTATTCTCTTACCATTGGTTAGTGAATCTTCAGCAACTTTAAACTTTGATGCTGTAATTATATTTTAATTATAGTGTACAATAAAAGCCGCTGAAAAGAAATATGAGAAAGAAGATTTGTAGCTCAGGAGGATTTACAATTAGTAGTGTTCTCTGAGCTGGTTGGTTAAGTTGCAGAGCTTTCGTTACCGGGAGACGCAAGTCTATCATTCATGGAAAATTTAAATCAGTTCCCTTTATGCTAAAAATTGCGCTGAAGATGTTGTCCAGAAGGATGACGATTCGTCAACGAACTCAGATAACATTACTAATTGCAAACCACTGAAAAGAATTAAGTGACACCCGTCTAACTTTAAATATTATGACAATCGAATAAAAAATCGATTAAGCGACTACTTAGAGCATTCAGACTTAGATATGGCAACAGTTTATGTTTTGAATTCATTACTGGCTGATTAAAAACAAGTCAAGACAAAACTTCACAACTGTTCAACATTCTTAACTCTTACAAGAATAAATGACATGACAAATATAAAATGGTACACGGGAGAGAAAATTACTTCTCAAGTATTGGCTTGCAGGAATTTAGTTGATTTCATGTTAGGCTGCGAAATGACATAAGTTAACGAACCATAGGATATCAAAGAGTACTGGATATCTGCTTCGTCCTCGTTTAGGCCTCTTCAGAAGTTCACAACTATAACAAAAGCAGGCATAGAACCCAATATCTTCCTGATTTACCTTGAAATCAGTTGATTCCTTGCAATCCAATGCCTGAAAATGTATCTACTGCTCACAAATAACTGACTACAGAATGAAACTCTTGGATTAAGAAGTATTCAGCAGTCGAGTCTGAGGACAGATCCTCGTCGATGACACTGGTTAACTGTCGCGATAACGGAGGCTGGAATTCACCAGTCAGTCGACAGGCCCGCTTCGTAACCTGATTGTCCTGGGGTTGGATCATGCGTGGGATAGGTCCATAGTGCACGCTAGTACAGAAATTCTCTTTCCACATGTTATACAGCTGACAACTGCTACTAAACATAATTTCACAGGATTACTTTATAATTTCTGATTATTTATTTGATTAGCTTGAAGCCTTATATTCCACTAGAGGCATAAAAGAATGGGAAAAAGTTCAAATGTGCAAGAACCACAGTTTCCATAAATAAACTACCTTCATGTTGCAGAGATTTGACTGCTTGCCGTATAGGTTTAATATCCTAGAATATTTGACTACGATAATGAATACTCTTTGAAGGATTAAATTGCTTATAAAAATTATTTCAGTCATCGATGAATATGAAGTTTTGGTGAAAGAAAAGCTATCCTTATTTTACAGGCATTGTATACACGTGGATGTTTGCTAGCTAATGTTGATCCATTGCAATCACTACGTGATTTAACTATGTGTATATGTGTGGGCAGTAAGAAATATCAGAGTTTGGCTTTTATTCAACGTGGATTACAGTTTTACCAAATCAAAAAGTGAGTTGGCTTTTTTTGTTGTGGATTAAATGGTAAATATTTTTATGACTAATTCTAGAAAATATCAAACTATTGATTAATAACCTCCTTTTGACTAGACTTAATAAAGATACCATAAAAATTACTGAATTGAATTTTTGATTTTCCCGTCGATTGATTGGACCGAAGTGCTCGGTCTCAGGTTGACATGTCGGCTTCCTGTGCAGATGCTCTCGTGGCCCAAGTGGTCTAGTGGATAACGCTTTGGCGTTTGAAACTATGGGCACTGGGTTCGAGCCTCGGTGGGAACATCATCACTCACTGAGAAATGCAGGTACATCCAGTTGACGAGTCCCAATTAGGACGAAATGAGCGCTATCCTGGATTCCACTGCTAGCCACCATCCACCAATTGTGTACATACCATAAAAAAGGTTATATTTGTGTGATTTTCTAGGTTAGAAAATTTATACTGATTGTTTGATTGGAGTGGTTGGACAAGCCTCCCATTGGCCAGTAGCCCTGGTTAGCCAGACAGAAGTGGCCTAACCACTGGATGACCATTTGGCTCGTTTGAAGTCAAGCAGATCAGAGGCGTTCTTGGCTTATCTCAGCTCAGAGAGATGAATCACAATAAACCACCTGAATTCTGGCTGTCTAGCTACTTGGACCAACTGGTAATATGTCGACTCATACTCGTAATCCGTAATTTAAAAGCTCCGAACTCATTCGCCAGTTGTGTATTTGACAAAGACTAAACTTTATAACAAGTTACAAAAGACTTAATGATTACGAGTTTTATCCTGTCGTTCATTGCTTCTATGGATTCGGATCGTTATTAAGAAAATAGCGAATGAGTAGCATAGGAAATAAAAGGACAGTTGCAGCGAAGAAAATTTTCTTTTCGACGAAATCATCAACTAGGCTGTACATTCGTGTATTTATTATAAATGGGTAGGAAAGTTCCAGAATAATTTCTGGTCAAGGGTCAGATTAATAGAATTACAATTAGGAATTAGAATGCCATAATGAACAGGGGAATGGATAAAACTCAAACAAAGTAGCATCATAATAACTAAGATGATTGACATTGTGCAATCAGGGGTTAGAAATGTAGAAATAACAAAAATAGACAGGATGTTTGGATAAAAAAATATCTAGTGGGATCATAACTAATGTGGCCAATTGTTTGTGCAATTAGGGGTTAAATATGTAGAAATAATAAAATAACAAAATAGACAGGAAGTTCCGATATGAAAATATGGTAGTGAAAATAGGGATTAAGAAAAACTTAAAAGTAACACGAGTAAACAGAAATGTTGGATGAGAAAGGCAATGGGATAGTTACTGTTACAAGAATTACCTGTTTACGACGGTCACGGCAGGGACAAGGGTTGAGCGTGTTTCTTTTGGATACATAGCGTGAGTTTGAGCTTTTGGATGACTAGCGCCTAGGCTATGCCCAGATGTCTTAATTTTACTCCCTTTTGATGGGTTTGATCGAATCTTGTATTTTGTTTTGAAGGATTTTTCGAATGGGGCTGAATATCTTGAATTGACCAAATGTTCTGTCACTGAACTATATACGCGTTTTCGTTCTCCTTTCACCGGCAAGGCTAGATAGTGTTCACGAGGGCAATTTTCAAGTTGGTGCATGGTACGGACAATGTACTCAGCTCCTCAAGAGCAGGTAAACTGACATATGCACGTTGAAGTGGCACATTGTGACAGCTTGTCTTTTGCTTTCTGGCTGAACAGTTTCTTGCAGGAAAACGTCAGTCGTAGGCTCGCGGCGAAGTATGTCTTTCTCAGAGATTTGCAGAGGCGTTTACGAATGATTTCTGCTTCAATGTCACCTTTGAATTCTTCTCCGGGTTTTGAGTAGCAATTGATGTGTACATTTTTAAAAATTAGTAAAACAAATTACATACGAAAATTCATAACTTGACATCGTAACCAGAAGGTTCTGCGTTCGAACTCCGCCGGGGTGGTGAATATGTACTCCAAAACTGGGTTATAAACAAGTGTTCAGTGCTCAATAGTTTTGAATGATCTCTGTAAATGATGTTAGTCCGAAATCCCCGTATAATTTATGTTAGCGAATATCCAATCCATGTTCACTTCCTTCAGCCTATGTTAGGAGGGGAAATCAATAGACAAGGTTATGAAGTTACATCGACTGAGATGGTTCGGACATGTGTTACGCATGCTTGTCTAGCCATCGCCTTCCTCGACAATGGGCAATGTTAGCTGACTTAGGATGCATCAGGTTGGCAAAGAGCTAGTGGTGGTCAAACCAAAACGTGGCTTCATCAGTCAATCAATGAAATCCACAACAGTTAGTTTAAGCCAGTTACGTATGAGGGTGTAGGCTGCTTGACCGGTTGGGGTCCTCGGGACGGTAAAAATCAATGAAGGCTGGAAACAATAGGTGATATGGCTCAAAATCGTCGTTCTGCCGCAGATGCATTCACTCCTTGTGGCTTATAATACCCAATAAAACTATATTGATCTTCGATATTACTATTCTTTTTGCCTCATATCTCTATTTACTGTCTCTACTTTGCATTGCTTTTTGCTTTTTTCCTGGCTTTGTGTGCCGAGTGAAGTGTGACGACTCGAATAGCTGTAAATCAGTGATATATCTCCATATAACATGTGTGTTTTGTTTGACAGTCTGATATATTTTGCTATGTATATATGGATCGATATTCCACTATAATTAGCCAATCATGTTAAGACTGTCTATTGATTTGTTCATTTTGAATATTCGTTCACACCCTTGTTCGGACATTCTTATATTTTGCTCTCACACTCTTGTGTGACTATATTGATTCTCCTTGTGTTTTGGAAAATAGAAGTATCATCGCAAACCTAGTGGTCTTCTGATTTCCGTCTTTCTTGCGTTAGGACTATTAAATTCTCGACCAGTACATAACAATCAGTGCAAAGTTCTATGTTGAAACAAGTCAGTCAGTCAATCATCCAGCCTATATCTTCTACGATATTTCCTTTTTTGGTTTGTTTCAATCATATCTGGTAATCTAGTCTTCAGTATGAATCGGATGCATCTTTGATAAGAGTCTGAAGTTTTCTTGTCGGAAACGCTTTATGTGACATACCAGTACTCATAATCATATAAAGCCGCTGACTCGAATGGTAGTGGTGGTTTTTCTCTTTGTTCACTTAAAAAAAAACATTTGATAACTATACTGAATTAATAGGTTTTGAATGACCTCGATGAATACAAAATTCTCAAGTATTGGTTTTGTAGGGATTTTATTTGATTGTACGGAGGATTTCACCACGAGCTGACATCAGTTAGAGAACCATTGGAACACCACCTGGGAGTACTGGACAGCTGTTTCCCCCATCCTAGTTTGGGACTCTTCATCAGTATGCACCCACCACAGGGGGTTTGAACCCAGGACCTTCTGGTTACAAGGCAATCTCGTAGACCATTGAGCCACTGAGACCCGATGGTTCTCTAACTGATGTCAGCTCATGGGGAAATCCTCCATACAATCAAACAAAATCCCTACAAAACCAATACTTGAAAATTAATCTGATGCTCACTAGCGACTGGTCCTGTCCAGGCAGTTAACCTGGGGTTCTAGTGGGAAGCCGTGACCAGTAGAGTACAGCAGGTAGAAGATGGGGCAGTAACTCATCGAAGAAAACATTGTGAAATAGTCGCACTATGTCGTGAACTGACAGAAGTTAGAATTCAAAGACCATTGGATCGGGTCCCAGTGGCTCAATGGTCTACAAGCTCATACTGTAACCAGAATTTTCCTGGGTTCGAACACCGGTGTTTGCGTACTGATGAAGAGTCCCAGACTAGGATGAGGGAAACAGCTGTCCAGTACTCCCAGGTTTTCCAGTGGTTCTCTAACTGATGTCAACTCATGGTGAAATCCTCCATAGAATACTAAATTCATCAATAATTTTCAAGAGTTAGAAATCACTGAGAGTAAGGCTTTCATAAAGAATCAGTATTACAAACAGTTGTAACGGTAGAGGACGAAAGACTTGGTATCTGTATATAGCGAAATTATATACACCTTATCTTCAACGTAACATTTCCACAGATCCTCCGTGTTTTGATACTCTGGCCTTCATACTGTGTTTCTTTGTGTTCCTTTCACATCTTCCATGTATTTCTGCAATGCTGTGTCTTTTTGCTTTTTCTGGCATCAAATCTAACTCCCTGCTATTTGATGTTTTTATGCAGACGAATATCTCTTTATAAATATATACTACTGACAAATCTTATCAGTAGTATGGATGCGTGGAAATTACAAAATATAATTGTGCTAACGTCAAAGGTTAAGCAACATTTAGAAAATAAATTAGGCAGATAAAACAGTATGCTTTTTAATCTGAGTGATAGATTTCTGCAAAAATGCTTCAGATATTGAAAAAAATTACAGAAGATACCTGTGAGCTTGAATTTTCACAACTGTCCATTTCAAACAGCCTTTGACACACTACTACAAAAAAAAGGGATTGTCACTTTAAAAGAAACAGCTAATATGGTTAAAGTAAGTTCCTTGGAACAGGTTTATCATTTGCCAGGCTGATTGCCATTACTGGTCAACGATACTCAAATAGGTATAGTGTTGTAAGGACAGATGACAGCCCGACCGAAAGCTGCTACCTTGACGTGGTGGTCGGGCTTGAACACCGCAATGACCTAATCAAGCTATACTGGCTGAGACTTATGTCTCTTGAGGTTCTACCATGCCAGGCAGGTTGTTTGGATAGCGGTTAAACAAAAAGCAGCTACCCCATCCAATACCATGATCCAAACAAATTCACAAAATTTCATGCCGGATCGGCCGTGGCCCGGATTAACAACGACCGCGCTTCCTGCTGCCGTGTCACAGGGCAGGAGTGATAAGTATGCTACTGAGGCACACCAAACAAAAAAGAACAAAAAAAACAGGCCGCGTGTGACCGGCCTCAAGCAGTTGTCCCCTGGGCTCTGCGGTCACGCAACCAACTTCCACGGTGTGGGCA